CACTTCCCGTATCTTCTATCTTCAGGGACATTTCTGCTTAATACTTGCTACCACTACTGAATTTTTCATTAGTGCTAAAATCCCTTCAATAACCTGAACAGAAGATAGATTCAGTGCCCAAAAGAGGGAGTGAGAAGAACGGCTGCACCTCATTAGCTGGCAGTTCATCCCTGTGCCCTGTCCCAGTCCTGTGCTGTAATTAACTCTCAATTGTCCAAACCTGACAACTGAAGGCCTGCTGCTTGCATAACACTGAGAAGGAAACAGGAGGGTTTCTAAATCTTCTCCAAGGCATTCTGTTAAAGACGATTTTCTCTTGCAGCCAGGAAGAGCACATTTTACCCAGCTTTGTGGTCTCCTCACTCACATTTCCTGTCAATGAGATTCACTGTTTTCTTCCAATAAATCCTTCTTTTTCTCATGCTACTGCCCAAGTTCTTTCATTCCCAAATATAAAGGGACAAGTAGATGATACATTTTTCATATTCACAGTATTTCATATATTCCATTATTCCTGCTGAACAATTCCTCCTAACCCTTCTGTTGAAGCTTCCTTTTCAAGCCCTCTATACCCATGCAAAAACACATGGAACAGTTCCTTTGCCTGACCACTGCACTGTGAATTTCCAGCTGAACACAGGATAGGAAAAGACTGATTAATTTAGAAAATGTTATCTGAGCTTATTCACCACTTTCATATCTCTGACATTCTGACTCTGAGCACACAGTGTGCTCATTTGCACAAATCTCATGAGCAGAGTATCGATTCTCTGCATAAGTGAAATCTCTGATGACTGCAGTCCTCCAAAGTCATTTGAGCTCTGTCCACCAATTTCCAGTTAAATTTGGGATCAGGGTCTCACAGAGGAAGTACAAAGGCCTATGGTTCTAGGTGGGATTTTTTTTTCTGTAACAAGAAAAGAAAAGCAAAATTAAATCATTTCAACAGCCGCAGTGGTGAAAAGGAAATCGCTTCCACAAACCAGATCTATTTCCTGGTATGTATCTTGTGAGACTTGGATATTTCTCTAACTTATCCCTGCTACATCTGCTTGTATTTATCAACCAAAGCATGGAAGTACTGACAGTTTTCTCCTTAAGACGGTGAACTCAGGGAATATAGACACAAAGAAGTGCTAGTTGCTTCCACATTTTAATCTAATAAAGTTGACTGGAACCACACTGCAAAAATTTATGCGATATCAAATTTTTGTAACAAGCATTACTGCTGTTACATGATGCAAATTAAGCTGCAATATTGCAAAGCTGAGTTAATAACACTGATTTTTTCCCTTTTTAATGTAAAGCAACTCATGACACTCAAATTACATTTAAATGCACTACATTTCCCTCTGTATTTTGGGGAAACCTATTTTGAGGAAAAAATGAGCACAAGAGCATTAGGCTGCATGTTGCAGGTACATATTCTGTGAATTGTTACTACACAGATTTTTGTCTAATCAAAATATTTTAAAACATTCAAAGTTCCCACCTTCATGATACTCAGAGCACTTTCCCCTCCCCCATGAGGAGTCACCGGTGACAGTGAGGTGATGGCAGGGACAGCTCCATCAGGGCAATCACCTTGACTGTAACTACAGGTGTCACTGCAGGAACTCAGAGCTGGTGACACACGTGACCTTCAATAAGGCTTTGCCGTGGCTTTTCCTTTCCTCCTGCTTATACAACCTATGAATATTATCACAATCATGAACCAGAGTTTATTTTCCTACCCTAACACTTGTTTTGAATTTTGCTAACCAGACTGCCATTAAACAGTACTAAACCTAACCGTAACGCCCCGAATTGAAACGAAATGGAATGGCAACTACAAGACACACTTTAGAAAAATGGCAAGAAAAAACCTCTCAGAATTATAAATCTTAAACAGAGTGACTATATTTCTCACACTGTTTGTGTACAGCTGAAACAATGGGGTCATAACCAGAAACCCATGCAAGGGCTCTGCTCTACCACAAGATGAATGAAGTTCTTGGTCTTCTCAATATATCAAATACACATCAACCTAAAACGCTTCAGTGTCCAACCTGCTACAGCAAATTTCAAAATATATATTGCAGACAAGTGGCATAATTGCTTTGTTTTACTTTGGAGGGAAATGGATAAGAAATACACCTTATATGCTCTGTAAACATACCCAGCAAAATCCTGGGAAGACAATTCTCAGCAAAGTCCATCCTGGCAAGTTGGCAGCTTGTCCCCTGATTTCCTGGTCACCGGAGGGCCAGCTGTGTGTTCTATCAAGCTAAAGCTCTTGGGATTTACATACTCCAAATACAAAATACTACACAGATGTTTCTGGAGTAAATCCCTCACAAAATAGCTATGCCACAGATCTTCTCAATAAGAGCACCGAGATTCCTAAAATTACGCTTTCTGTACACAAGAAAAATGAGGTGACTGTTTCAAACTTCTACCCACTCCAAGTATCACCTAGTGTGGCCTCCTTTTTATTCTTAAAGGACACAATGTAGCAGGGCAAGTTTTACACTCTTTGCCAGTTTTAAACATTTTAAAAAGTAACTACTTGCTGCCTGAGAGCAGCGAGCCCTCAACAGCTTTCACAGCAAACTTTAACAGAATGCAAGAAAACAAAGCAGAAAGAAATCATGTTTCCCCTTAAAGCACTAACCATCCTGGAAGGCACAAAAGAGACCACTGCTACTGGGGACCATCAGCACGGCTGTGGCGGGACAACTGCAGAGGGTTCTGCAGATCTTGTCCAAGAAAGGGAAAAGTGGAACCCCTAAAGCAGCAGGGAAAGGAAAAACTTCTTGTCAGGCACATTCTGTGCCTGCCTCTAAGTCCTGCATTTTGGGAATACTAGCAAAGGAAACAAGGCTTCAAGTACTCCATCTGTACCCACATATGACTCTGATGAGATATACTTTTAAATTGCTGAGTTCCTGCTGTCATTTATTTACAAATGACAGTAAGATAAGTGAAATTCCAGGCTCTGAAAATATGCCCTCTTTTTACTGAGGAACCAAGAAATACCTGATGATGTCCCAAGTATCCAGATAGGACACATCTCCAACTGATGCTTGAAATAAGAAAGGACAAACAAACATTTCTAAGTTTCTCTGCCACATACTGACTGGTCTCTTTCATTCATCAGTGTTTTCCAGCAATTTCCCAAAGAAGCTACTGCAGCTCTGTATGTCAGACCTGGTATCCAGAAAAAGCTCACATATCATTTACATATTCCACCATATTCAGTATTTTTAATATGCATAACAATTTTCACCATGAGGATCTTGCAGAGCACTGTCTAAAACAATAGGCTTTGGGGTCCCACACACTGGTCCTAAGAAAGTCTATGCTCTAGCTACATACTGTTTTATAAACGTGTCTTTTAATCAGTGAATTCCAAGTAACAAGCTATTTCAGCCTTGCAGTTTACCAAGAGCTTTCTGCTCTAACTTGAACAAAGGCTCGAACAGATAACTTCCAGAGGTCCCTTTCAAAACTAAATTACTTCACAATTAAGGGAAGAAAATAATTCAGATCCAGCCTGATCAGATCCTGCTGGAAGAGATCAGGCAGCAGGACATACTAAGGATTGGCAGCTGAATCTTGCAGGTGCATAAGAAGACCTTTCATAAAATTTCAAACTACATCTCAAAGCCTACCAGGTAGCACTTGTCCATATAAATACATATAAAAAAGACACAGCCCCTTGCACACACCCCAAAGAAAATGTGGTGAAAAACCTAAGAAAAAGCTACAAAAGAACGAGACCTAAAGACAAATACATGGTCAGCAAGAGTTTTATCCCGGCTGCTACAAATGCCACAACATGGAGTATTTCTAGCTGTAGACTGGGTAAATTATCAGACTACGAATTGCTCTTATGTTAACTTTTTTATTCCAGGATTAGGTTCTACTAAAAACCAAACAAACCCTTCAATTTGGGAGAGTCTTCCTTATCTACAAAAGCATCTTCTCTATCCCTGCAGATAACAGGCCTGAACAATCCCTAGCATGCTAACTTGATAAAAGAACTCAAAGATAATTACTTCTAAGCAGAGAACAAAATATGTAAATTCGGAGGGCAATCAATTTACACTCGGAAAAATCGCCATACAACTTTACACAAAGTAACAGGCAACTGCTGAAAGGAAATACCACAGCTTACTACCATTCCCTGCTGCTGAATTCACTCTTAATTTTACCAAAACAACATCAGAGTGTGGTTGATTGAAAGGTGGTAAAAGGCCATTTGTGCTTTTGAACCCTTTTCAATAGATTTTGTAACCAGTTATGAAAACAGCGTAAATAATCGGTACTCAACAGCACAGTCTTTCACTACTAAGGTACGGGCAATTATTTGGGGTTATTATTTCCTCGGACTTTTTTTGTTTGACGTCGCTGAACGGCAAAAACCGATTTGGAAAGCAGGCGCCCAGCTTTGTTCAAGGCTCGCACAAAAGGAAGGCGAAGCACCTTATTCCTCGTACCCTTCCCACGACGACGGGCGCTGCCGCTCGCTCGGGCTGGGGCCGCTCGGCACCGGGCCCGGCATTACAACACCGGGAAGGGAAGGGAAGAGAAGGGAAGGGAGGGCAGGAGGGAGGGAGCGCCCGGCCGGCGAGCGCCGCGCCGGCCCTGCCCACGCAGAGACCCGCGGGCCCCGCGCGGCCCCCGCGTTGCCCACCCGGCCCGGCCGGCGGCGGGCAGCGCCCCCAGCGCCGCGGCGGGGCAGGGCTGCCGGGCGGGGGGCGCTCCCGGGGCCCCGAGCAGCCAGGCCGGGCGGGAGGGCCGCGGCGGAGCCCACCTTCGACGGCGCAGCCCGGGGCCGGCACAGACCCCTCCGGGCGCCGCCCAGGCCGGGCCGTCCGACTGCGGGGAAGGGGCATCGCCGCGGAGGGAGCGCCCCGCGCCCCCCCGGCCGCAGAGGGAGCGGGGCAGGCTCCCTGCCCGGGGCGCCGCGGCTCTCCCCGCCCGGCCGAGGCCTCCGCGGCGCGGCCCGCACTCACCGGCGGTGGGGGCTCCTCATCCTCCGCGCGGGGACGGCAGGCCAAGGGGGAGGGGGCCCGCTCCCCGCCGCGCTCCGCGGGCCGTTCCCGGGGCCCCGACGGCTCCGCTGAGACGGGGGCGAAGGCGGGTGCGTGTCGGGCGGGGAGGGCGGGCCGGCGGGCGCGGGCTCGGCGCAGGCTCCGTGTCCCGGCAGGCGCTCCCGGCGCGTCCCTGCGGGGCGGGGCGGGAACGAGCCGGATTCCAATCACTGCAGCCGGGCGCGCGCGCGGCGGGGGCCCGCGGGGAGGCGGGAGCGCGCCCGCCGCCCCCGCCCGTCCATCAGCACGTGCCGTGGGCGGGAGCGCCGGCGGGGTCCCGGCTGGGAAAGGTGGCCGGGAGGAACCGGCCGGGCCCGCTTCTCCTCCCCGGAAGCCCCTCCGCGGCCTGGGCCGGCTTGGCGCTGGACGCCCGGGCCCCGGCGTTATCCTGCCTCGCCGGCCCAGCAGCGCTTTCCCCGTGAGGAAGCTCCTCTAGGAAAGGGCGGAAGGTGTGAGGGGAAAAGTTGCCGAGCCGGTGTCTTGGCCTCGAAGAGGGTCGAGACACGAGAAGAGCGGCCGGGTTTGGCTGCGGGGCCGGAGGCTCCGTCCCTGTGCTGGTGGGGCTGGTGCCAGGGGACTCCCGGGGGAGGCGGGTGCGGGATCGCCGCAGCGCCTTTGGTGGGAGCTCGGGGCTGCCTGTGGGCTGCGGAGGGCACCGAGCAGTCAGCGGTGCCAGCGGCCTGGGAAAAAGGACGGACTCCATGGGCCTTTCGGCTTCGTGGAAGAATAGTTCTGAGAAGGCTGACGTTGCAGTGCCGCGGGAGGGATAGAGTTCCATTGCAAAGGACAGCATTGTTTGCTTTTTCCATTTCCTGTATCTAAATAAATATGCCCAGTTACTTAGACTGGAATACATTTTAACTTCTGCAATGAGCTGCTCTGCTTGCTGATAAGGATGCTGAAGGCCATGATTTGCATTGTATTTCAAAGCTTCTTATCATTAGGACAAATTGGAAAAGTAATAATTTGTCTGTCTGTCTTCAGGTGAGGTGTCCCAGCAGCAGTGCAGAAGGAGCTTCAGTGACGGTGCTATGTGCCATGGAGGTGGCACAGCTCCCACCTGGGCTGCTGTTTTTAATCCTTCACTCAACAGTGTGACAGCAGTTGTGCTGCTGATGTCCTCTTGCCCTTCGCCTGTCCTGCCACTTAGTTACTCTGCATCAAGAACTTTGCACACAAAGCCAGCTACAGGGGAAATGAAGATCACATGGATCGTACAGACCTACTCAGTTTCCCTTTGCTGCACACCAAAACACTCTCTAGGCCTTCGGGACACACCAGTAATTGCTGGTGGGGAGATGGCTGCCCAGATAAACTGAGCATAGAGAAGAACCAGTTGGGAAGCAATCTGGCTTATTGGTGCCAAATAGCCACATGTGCATATATTGTGGGAAACATGGGCTTGCTTATTTTGTTGACCTCTCCACAGTATAGCTCCATTTTTGCATGCTAATATCAGATAGGACTTGTAAATGTTGTGTACTGCACTCCAGAGTTGTCACCTCTGTAAGATGAGAGCACGGGCTTTGCATTCTGGCTCACGTGCATTTCACCCACAGATTGTTAGATGAGCACTTCACTTCTGTATTATCCTACACAGAAAAACAAAAGAGGAAGTATAACTTCAAACCTGTCACCTTCACAGACTCCTTTAAAATGTAGGCAGGTAAATACACACCTAATAATTGTATGTGGCCAGATACTGTGGTGATAGGCATTTGCAAATGCAGGTCTTGTCTTATTAGACTTTTAGAAAATTTTTTCCGATCACCATCATCCAGAAAAATCTGTCAGTGTCCAAAACAAAGCCAGCCTACAAGAAAGACAAAATCACAGTTTCCATGCCAAGCAATACAGAACTCCTGTGCTTATGTTTATAATTTCAAAGGAAAATATGAGTCTGCTGTTCTTCCACTCTGTGTACTATGAAATTATAGCAGAATAGACACTCAATATGGAAGAAGAATGCAACATGTGTGTGTGCTCCCAAGCAGAACCGAAGCTGTTAGTGCTAGCATCTCTTCAGTAATAATGTGTGCAAATACAGCCCAGACCTTGTCAGATGTTAGATACTGATTCCAATCCAGGATGCATGAATTTAGCAACAGGCACTAGCCTTGAAATGGATTTAACCTTTTTTGTGAAATGGATCGACTTTTTTCATCCAGTTCCTGGTGTGTAAATTTGCACATTGAAGAAATTGCTGTCTCAACCGGTACTTTTCAAGGCACTTGGGCATTGAAGATACCCACAAGTCCCTGTCAGGTCAGGAATAGTGTTGCTGAGGATATGCTTTAGTATTGTATTGCTATGGCAATTTAAGTTTTGTATTGCTATGGCAAGTAATGCCCATCTCTACATTATTGAGAACTATTAACTCCTTGTCTTAATCACAAAATAAAGTCGGCAAAAATAAACTACATTATGTAATATTAGGACTGCAGGAGACCAAACTGCATCTTAATCTAAAATGATGAATCATAATGACCTTTTGAAAGTATTTAGATTGTGATGGACTGCTGATGAAATATCACATAGAAAATACTGGTGTCTTTCAAAACAGTGCAGTACTTAGGTTTCAAATATCTCTACCAGAATAGGTAGAGAGACCTTTTTAAACCAGAAAGTGAACACTTTAGATGATGGGCTCTCAGAAAGACCCAGGGCTCCAGCAAGCTAGTTAGCAGCAGCAATCTTACTTGGTGAGGATTTTAGGAATCTGCAAAAACTGAGACACACCAGGTTTAGTAACACTAAGCATTTATTTTGTTAATTGAGCCATACTCAAAAAACCAAAGTCTGAAAATCTGAAAATAAACATAAGTTTATTTGACATTTGGCCAAGATGACATGTGGAAGTCTAACATGAGATATAGAAGAAAAAAAAAAAAAGAAAAAAAAAGGATAGTCTTCCAGCTGCTTTCATTGTTATTTCCTCTCCAGGAATTTCTTATTAGTTCTTGGAATCACTAGGGAACTACAAACTTGAATATCAAAAGAACAAAGAGGTATATATAGGGAGAAGGTCAGTCATGTGATAGGACTTGATCTTTGTAGATCCTTCTTCCCTTCAGTCTCTGGAATTCAGATGTCTTAAATCTGTGGTCCAAATATATTTTTGAGGACTGTTTGCAATTAGATGAGTATTTCTCTGTTACTGCTACAAAAATAAATATTCCATGTTACATATTAAAAGACTATTACCCTTCAGCCAGGGACACAATTATTTCACTTAATATGACATGAATTTGGCTTTGTCTGTTTTTCAGAACTATTTTACTTGAAAGCATATTCTTTTGATTATAAATTTATTCAGCTGTTTGTTGCTTACAAAAGTCGTGGATTTTATTACATTTTTTTAATATAAGCAAAAACAATTCAATAAGGCAGAGTCAAATCTGTGAAGAAATGTGTTCATAAAATTTTTGCTAGTGGATCATTGGTAGTAAAGAGGCAAGCCATGTCCAGCCTAGAGTCCAACCAGTCTGGTGTGGAACTGAGTCTGGGGCAGCACTGGAGAGCACTGTGGCAATAATCCAAGGAATAACAGCTCAATGAGCAGAGCATGGGCACAAGGAAACAGAAATGTTCCCACAGCTCAAGCACTTGGTGCGATTTGGGCTTACTTGGGTTTCTACAGGGGATTCTTCCTCAGCCTTGAGCAGGTGGCCATGGAGGAAGGAGGACACAATGGCTGTGCCTGTCCCCAGCAGCTGCAGGGTGGGAGCTGATTCCTCACTGAACTGATGCCTCTGCTGTGGCAAAGGGCTGCAGTAATGGGAGCACATTGCTCTGGGAGACATCTTCCCAGTCAAGAACCAGATTTCCCACTGCTTTTTCTGTTTCTTCTGCCTGTGCCTAGTTGAGCTGTATGATTTTGTTTTTATGGATTCACATTTACAAAACCCTTGTTGCAGTCTTCTCACCAGGTCGTAATAAACCCTGAGATAACTCTCCTTTTAAATACAAATTACTTTGTTTTTCTTAAAGCCAGAGCATTAAAAGTCTTATCACAGAAAAAGGAAATATTTGTAGGCTCAGCAGACGTTTCACCAGGGTGCCTCACTCACATCAGTTTGTTTGGAGAATTAGTAATGTTTTCCCTAGATGCATGCACATAAAATCCCAAAAGTCTTCAGTTGCTCAGAGAAGATTAAGTATTTCAACTATAGTGCTGATTTTAAAATTTATGTTCTAATTATCAGTCAGCGGTGCCAAATGATCTACAAGGAAGTTTGAATTATACTGAGAGAAGCTGGATGTTTGTGTTCCTACACCTTTTGTGACAAGAGGTGTTTGTTTCTTTTACAAGTTGGAATAATCCTTAGATCCAAACTCACACTGTATTAACAGTTCCTCTGTTAAGCCTGATGCTCAAGCTTTGTCCTGAAACAGGAGCAATGCTGAAAGCAGAAATGTTTTTAAAACCTGCTGTTACACAAGGCAAATTCTTATCAATACAGAAAATTTCTGTCTTGGTGCGTGTAACAGGTTTATCCTCAGGGGGCATGGATTCAAGTGGAAGTGTTTCTGGCAGCTGTAGGAGGGGGTACTGTAGAGATTTACAAAGATGGACATTTATGAGACTGAAAATTCTCTGTTCTTCCAAGCTTTTTAAAATGAAACAGATCTGATCCTATACAAAAGAAATGAACTAAGTTCATATTTTTCTTATTTTTTCTCAGTTCAAACATATCTTTAAACATGAATAAATTGCTGTTAAATAAAAGCAAATGCAGCAAAATAGTCTCATTCACTTATTTTTTAATATTCTAGTGAAACTAATATGGGACTACAAAATAATAGAAGGATATCCTTGTATTTCAGCTAAAATGTCTGAAAATAGATAATGAAGTTAAAGGCATAGCAATGAAGCTTTTCTCTCTCAGTCTGAAAGGTGCTTGAATATTAACTGAAACTGGAACTTGAACAAGTAAAACTCATACAGCTAAAAGCTAATCCCAAAAAATAGTCTATATCTCCCTTTGCTTCCAATGAAAAATTGGCCAGTGTCTGCAAATCTCCTCATTTGGCAGCCACACCTATTACAGTTTAAACTCTCACTGGCATCAGCAAAAAATTACCTGATTAGGGATGCAGGATTGGATCTAAGATAATAACATATTAAAAATCCACTATGGATTCAAAAGCTACTAATGGAAATTAAATCCCTGAGAATATAAAACATTCCAAGCTGTCGAACAGTTTCCATTGTACATACTCAGAATGCTAAACAATAGCAGCTATTGCATGTGTGACCATCAGGAAACACAGCTGTGCTTCTTTGTGTTACAATTAATTACTTCCGTTGTATATAAAATTGAAAGTATTGGTACTCTGGGGCGGAAAAAGGATATCCTGATACACTGCTCCTATTTCCTTACCGAGGCCTATTACTGAATGTTTCACCATTAATTCACTTACAATGAATTACCCTGCACAGAATAAAGGAAGGGTAGATTGGGTGGTTAATTGTTATGCTAAAAGCTACTTTTTCTTTGGATTTTCACTCTCCTACATTTTTATCTCATTTTACTACTTTTGCATATGCCCTCTTTGATAGGAATTGTTCACTTTTAATTAGTTGCACGTTATAATAAAGGTCTAAAATAAACATTTACTTCAACTTTATCTTTTTACTTACAGATTGTTCTATTAATATTTCTTAAGTTACAAGATTAGAGGAAGCACAATCTTTCTCTCTGTCCTTAAAAAAAATGAACAAAATCATCTCAACTGAAGTATTTGTGGCCAGGTTCTCTGAAGCTGGCACACAGAGATGTAATTTATACCTTTCTGTGCCAGTGAATATTCCTAAGCTGGAGGGAAATGAGGATTGTTACCCAGAGTTAGGGAGGAGTAGCAACAACCCTCTGTTATGCGTTCTTTTTTTTTTTTTTTAATTGAGAATTGCATAAGAACAAAAACTGTTTGAGGTTGTACTAAATAGGCAAATATGGACCCTAAGGAAATACACTACCCCCAAACTTTAATATCTACTTTTTAATAACACTGACTTTTTATTTTTAGAGACCTTCTAAACAGAGAGCAGCTTCTGTGACTCCTTAGGAAGTCAATGAAGTCTCCAGCAAAAACCAGCCCTGTAAGTCTATAAAAGGTGGATAATGTGTTCTGTGTTTGTCTCCAAGGATTTAATTTCTCAGGATGTGTCTCCTACCTGGAAGTCTCAGTCCGTCACCTTTCACCACCAGCCTGTTTCCAATCTGTTCTAGGATGGCCAACACAAAGCTGAGTAAGTTACAAGTGGAAAACATGGAGTCCTTCAATGTGAGAATAAGTAAATTTTGCCAAATGATCTGAAACCTTTGCAAGTTTGAATTCAGGCTGGTGTCATGATGCAGTAACAGGAGAATAGCAGCTCAGAAGAGCTCACATTCCAGAAACTGCTTTAGATAATAAGAATTGCAGAAAATCACCATCCACAAACCAGCCCTGTTGTCCTTTTGCTGCAGCAGCTGGCACTGGGAATACAATCTCAAAGGCAAACTGTGCTCTGCCATTATTTTATAACCACACAGTTCAGATTCAGGTATGCTCTGAGACCACAGCTAGAGCCAGGATCCCTGGCTAGCAGTTTGGGTGTCTTGCAAGGACTTTCTGGCCAGAAGTAGATGCTGTGTAGTGTACATGCAATAAAGCAGAAACTTTCAATTAGTGTCATCTATGTTGTGCACCCACAATTAATCTCAGGAAGTCTGGTATTTGCAGGATGCAGTGGGCTGAATGCAGCAGAGCCCACTCTGTCACCTTTTACCCCACAGCTTACAGGCCTGTGAAAGGAACAGAAACTCTGCACGTGCATTAATCACAGGGAAATTTAAAACATCCTTGGAATCAGTACAGGGAAAATTTTGCAGGAAGAAAATCTGTCAAGGAATGTGCAGGGGACAGCTGAAGAATATTTTGTTGTGAAAGAACGATACCTGGTCTTTGTTTATAATACAAAAACAAATAAAAATTTTATTCCTGAAATCCTATTTTTTATATGAAGCCAGATTTTTTGAAAGTGTGGCCTTTTTTCTGCTCCCACATCTCCAGTGCTATCAAAATTGTGGAGTTGTTACTTCATAAAGCAAAAATACCTAACAGATAACAAAACCCAGGTCTCAAGGTGCACTCAGATTTGTGTATTATTCTTAAGCTATATATAGTAAATGGACTAGATGACAACAATTTAGGCTCAGATAGTGCAGGTATGAAACATATGCACTTAAAGGAAATCAGAATCTCAGTTCTGAGTGTTTTAATCCACATAGATGTACCATACATGCAGGAATACATATAGGAATGCTTACATTAGTCAACATGAAGATTTCTTTAAATGAAACTAAACATCAATCCCAGCATTATTTTCCTGCCTACATATGATTAGATCTTAAAAGAATTTAAACACTGTAAATCATTATTTTGTTTTGAAATGAAATCTTTAATTAAGGCTATAGATATTTATTAAAGCTCCTAAAAATCCAAAACATCCTCTTTAATACACCATGAGAATAAAACAATCTAGAACAGCAAGTTTTCTGGCCTTAGTATAGCAAGCAGCATTCATTCCACAAGCACTGGAACAATCATCACTTTCACTAAATTCAAGGTTGTCTTTGTATCTTCTAATTAAAAGAAAAATAAATCTCAACTCTTTCAGTAACACTATGCAGAAACAGAAGAATGTCCATAACATCTTTCTCATAAACGGAAATAATCCCATTTCTAAAGTAGCAAGATTAGAAAATACTTTTGTAGTAGAGGCAGATTTATCAATGATACTTTATGCACACTAATTTATTATTCCCTAACAATTATAATCTGGAAACTTTTAAAGAAAAAAAATGTTTTGTTCAAAAGTTTATCTTTGTTAAAAAAAATCCTTCCTGTCTTTATTACAGAGAAAATTCTTGTGATTCAGCCTGACAGTCCTTATTAGTACAACACACATTTGTTACTGTTTTCTTTTGATGTAATCTTCCTAAGAGGAGGAACAAATGTATTTTAACAGCTATCCAAGGGCGTATTTCATAGGCACACAGCACAGAACTTATGCCTGAATATAGTCTGAATCTCATCCATAACTCTGATTTGCCTGGGAGAACAAAGCATTTCATTGTGTATTCAAGAATGGTTTCAGCAATCTTATTCACACATTCCTTCCTTCCTTAATCAACAGAAACTGTTTGAATTCAAGATGCATGATTGGGGTGGGAGGGGCAAGCAATGCCAGAGCCTATACTTTTGAAATCTCCATTTTCCTCAGAGCAATAATCTCTCTTTAAGAAACTCTGTTAATAATCCCTTAATGCAACATTTGCCACACATTTTGCACCATGTCCTTTCCTAATGAACTTTGCTCTATTCCCTTTTTCCACCCTGTCAGCTGGCATGGTGCTCTGCTTATGCCTCTATTGCTTCCAGTTCCAACAACTGAACTCTCCAGGGATCACAGTGCACTGTTTAGGAAGCACTGTCTTGTGCAAAGGTTAAGTGTCAGAAAGACAATCTGAAAAACAGCAATTTTGATCTGAGATACAGCATACATTCTGGGCCTTCTTTTCAATTGCATTTCTTATGCACATTGTAAACAGAAATTGGGGCTGGGAAACAAAATCAAAAATGCACCAAGTTGTGATTCCTGATGCTGTACTTGGTAATGGCATCTAAATCTAAGTCTGTTCATTTATCACCTAACTTCTTAATTATGTTTAATATACTTATTTGTACTTCTAAAATGCCTACATTTCTGAGGGGTGTGCAACAGGAATGCACAAAATGGCTGTTTTTGTAAAACACAGTTATATGAAGTCATCCTTTGTACCTATTTCGTGACACTAGATCTCAATGAGGGTGTTTAAAACATTTTGTGTATTTTAAGTAACTTTTGCTAAGAAATAGTAGAACACCTACCTGAACATATGCAGTCAAACTTTGTTTGCAGATGCATCAACGTAACTGAAGAGAGAATTTACCCACTCCTTACAAAGTTACTATAAACAGTATTTGTTGACACAACAAGGTCTGGGACTATACAGGCCTTGCTGAGTTACAACATGTACTGTTAGCAGACTGCATCTTTTAAGCATACTAATATTTGTTTAAAACAGCATTATTTGGTCAATAAGATAGTCAAGACTGATACACGATAAAGGTGAAACCAATGCTTTTAACTTTTATTTTCAGGTCTGAAGTAGAGAGTACAAGCTTGTGTATACTTTCTTACTGATATTACATGGCTGAAAGCTGTCAGCTGTTCACATGGCATATTAATAAATATACCCAAATCATAAAGCTTTAAATGTTTTTGCACATTGCTATTATTACTAGATTGTTTTATTCATGTTGGCACAGATAATCCATGCAAGGTAATTACTCACATCTCATAAACCACCAGACATTCAGTTCTGAAATAACTAGAAACTTAGGAAAAAATATCTATCCAAAAGCAAGGGCACTTGTGGCATAAAGTCAACATGTCAAAATATTATAAAAACTAGACTTCTAATATATGATCACTGCAGGCAATAAATCACTCAGTTTCAAATTCTGATGTTTATAAACAAATTAATATCCACTACCTGGAGAGGAGTATTGCAAAAACCATTAGTGTGCCCAGCATTAGACACTAATGAATGTGTTCAGTGCTGTAGACATTCACATTATTAAACATAAATAAAAGTAATCTTCAGCAAAACATTTCACACAAAGTACTGACCATTGAAGGACCAATGGAAAAATATTTTTCCTTGTTTTGAATTGATTTTATAATTGAGAATTGTGTAACTTGTGAATCCAATATAGTGAAAACTAATGAAAAAAAAGTCCTAAGACTTTTTTTTTTGTCCAGATAATAAAAGTAACCTTATTTGGAAACACTTAATTTTGCCCTGTTCTGCAAAAAGAACACCAAAAGAGAGAAAAGCATTAAAAAAAGCTTTTGAATCCATTGATGGAAAAGTTATTGAACACTTTTTAGTTAGACAAAAGACTGATCTTTTCAATTGATCATTCAGAGGTACAGTATCTTTGTTTTATTGTGTAAAACCTCACATTAATTAGAATGAAGAGAAGTATTCAGAAGAACTTAGGACTTATCTCAGGCATCTCTTACAAGACATAAAACACTATCAAGTACACATTATTCATCTTGCATATTTTTGTACAACATTATTTTCCGTGATAGTTAAAAGGTCATATTTTGAATTTCAGAGATATATATTATTATATAAATAAGCATTTTACCATCTCCATATCACAAAGGTGATGCAGCAGAGGAGTATCAGCAGTTATGTGGTATTCTACCTCTGTGAAAGTTAAAATGCTACATTACTATTCACAAATTTCTGGTTCAGATAATGTGCAAAAATTATATCTTAATATAGATATCAAGGGCGGGTATGTGGATTCCCTATTTTTGGACCACATTATGAAGCAGCACAAGTCATAACAGGAAATTTTTATTACATGATAATCCTCAGGGTATCTCTGTTCTTCATTCAGAGATATTGCTGTACCTCATACAGTGATATGTAAACTAGCTTTAATTTCACTTTTTCAGACACCAGCTGGAGTCAGGACATGTGCTACAGTGCAGGTTCTCTGCCCAAGGAATTTTTCAGGACTTTCTCAAGCCAGTACAGCTCCCACTGAAGTCCGTGCTGCTGCACTTCACTGCTGCCACCCTGCAAGCCAGCTCAGCTCTGCTCACGTACACTGCATTCCCTTCCCTGCAGTCCAGACTTCAGATTTACCAGATTGGATCCTTGCTCACCCCTCTGTATGTATCCAAACCATCTCTCTGGGTTATTGGGAGCTTCTTGTACCCTAATTTCTTACTTGAAGCCCTCATCCTGACTGTAGTGATCCTGGTGCCCCCTACCCAGCCTCCCCTGCCCCACCCAACTCTCTGCCATGCCAGCGTGGTGAAAGTGCCCTTACCTGGCTATTCTTTGCTCCGAGCCCGGCCCCAGGAAGGGCTCCCCATCTCCTCAGTGCCACTCAGCCAGAGGCCTGCAGAGCCCCTGCATTCTGACAGCCTCAGGTGCTCTCCCTGTGCCATCCCAGCCCCCCATCCCCTGCCCCGTTTCCCACAGCCCCCCAGCCAGGCTGCCTGCCAGCAGCTCTCCACACACTGCACTCCCTCAGCTGCAGCCCAACACCTCCGGCCAGATCCTAAAATGATTTATCCTCCACGCTGCCAGCCAAGAGGAAGCTTATAGGGACATTGAGGGGGAAGGTGGAGGGGAGAATGAGGCACACACATATAAACACATGCAGATCAGAGGTGAAAGACCTCATGAAATTCTCCCGAGGCATCCATCACAAGCCCTTCCCACGGAGCCTGATTCCCTGTTCTGATGTTGCAGTCAGAGATTAGTCTCAGTCAGTGGCCAACACTGACACAAATCTGCCTAAAGAGTATCTTCAAAGCAGTCTCAGCAGAGTATGCTGATGTGAATTCTCTCAAATAACAGATAATAATAAATAGTACTTTGTTGAATGGCACTGAAAAATGAAATGTTGAATTTTCTCACTGTAGTGAATATGTATTTAATGAAGTCAAATAGGAGTGGAAAAAATATTTAACTTCCATAATTATGATTAATTCCTCTGGAGAATAGTATGAGCCAGATATTTGGATTTTGTAATCTATGGAACCATAGTCACACCAGCCCAGCACCGACTGAAAACAGAAAATTTGCTTGCTTACAGAAAAAAACCCAAAACAAACAAACAAAAAAAGGCTTTGCATATAATGTACTACTGTTTTAGAATAATTCATGCATACAAAAATCTGACCCTGTAGCAACTCAGATCAGATCACTGCTAAGATCAGTGAAAACTAAGATACCTACTGACTAAATACAGGTCATACATGTCAAAACTGCCACAGGCAGTTCAGGTTGTTACTTTTGTCCAAGATGCAGACTGCCTGCAGCTAACTTAACTCTTATTTTAGAACTCCAAATTTCATTTATTCCTCCCCTAAGCTTTGGATAATTTTTCATCCCTTAAAAGACACACAAATGAAATGGGCATTACCCATGGGAGGGACAAGACAGACAAGGTTATGTAATTTTTTGCTACTCAGAACACAAGGTAAAATAGGTGCAGATGACACCAGCATATGGCCCACAGAAAGCATCCTCAGCCTCAGAAGTACTTATTCAAAACTCTCAGTACTGCAAGCACACATCATAATTCTCACTTAAATGAGTTAATAAAGCTTGAACAGTGATCAGACTTTCCATCTTAACTCCACCAGACAGAACTGCTGTCTCCCATATTCAAAAATTCAAAAGTATTATCAGTACTACAAGTATTGCTTATTTGAGAAAAAGAGTTTTATCAATAACTGTCTCAAGAACTTAAAAGCTGTTCTCAAGCTATTAGGATAGATGCACGTATAGTTAGTAGAAAAGATGACTGTATGGTTATCCTAATTGTTGGAACATAGCTACTGTTTTCCAATAGCAAATACTGCTACAATTCATGATGTGCTACATTTAAAGTAAGGAAAGGAATAAAGAGTATGTGCCTGCTGCCTTACAGATTTTTGATACACATACATTTACTATAGGAAAAAAAAAAAGCCTTTTTCCTAATTATGTGGGATAGAGGAGGGAATTTTTGTAAGCTGTCTCCCCCCGCCTAGCTGTGCTAGATGGATGTGTTTCTTCTGTGTTCATCAGTGTGAAGGTCCAGACGTAAGTTCCTACCTCCCTCTGATATCAGTGGGAATTAGAAACCAAAACAAGATTGAATCTCTTTTTTTTTCCACAGGAGGAAAGGAAAATGGTTTTGAATTAAAAGCTGGCCTTTCCAGTCAGCTCTATTCCATTCAATGCAAGAGCAATTTGGAGAAAGCCAGTTGTCCTTTTCCATTACGATTTGAAAGTGAATTATCTACTGTGCACATAGAAGCCAAGTGCACTAGCAAGGTTGACCCAACCATTTTATTTTCAAATTGTTATGGATTGTCACCTAGGCTTCCCAGCAACATATGGATTCAAGGCAGACTTATTATTTGGAAAGAATCTAAAATATCTGATGCTATGAGGTAGCACCACAACATAATGGAACAGCACTCACTTTTCCTAGAGGAAGCCCTAATCTATTTATTTCCCTTTGAAAGCTACAGCCTTTGGTTCTACAGATGACTGTACATATGGCACTTACTCATTCTTGCTGTGAAAGAAATGACTTAATACAGAAGTATTTTTCCAGTTCTTATTAAACACCAGTGTGTGGACTAAGCAGTAAAACTGCTGTGGGTAGTTAACTTGAAACTGTATTTGCACATTACTTTTTATAATAGGGTTTTTAGTTAATTTCAATATTTCCCCCAACTGTTGCTATAATAATGGACTAGTTCATGAGTTCATTTGGTTTTGACTGCTCATTCAGTAGGGTTTGTACGAGCTTTGCAAAAAGCATGTTCTGCATTTGTGAAAGAGGATAAAGTTAAACTTGAGAAGTACCAACGTCTAGCTTTTACCGAGAGAAGCGCTAGCCATGGTTATCAACGTTACGATTGCCCTGTTAGTCATCTGTTTTACCCCAGCATTACTGACTACCAACTCTTCTTTTAAACATTGATGGCATGGGCATGCTTCTTGCATAGTGGCTTGTCCTTCTTGGAGTAGAATGGCTGACCTTCCAAATTCACATGGCATACCTAGAATTAATAATAAATGCAATCAGGAATAATTAAGGAAAAAGAAAAGGGAGAAAAGATGTGACTATCAGTTTCAACTGTATTGCTCTTCTGCCCATGCATTTCTTTGGTAGTCTTTAGGAGTCATGTATTGATTTGCTATTGAAAAAAATCAAGTTAGGTCCTCAAAAAGACCCCCACTGTGAGAATTGCATATTAACAACACATAATAAAACTTTCATTTCTACAGAAAACAGGGCAGCTAAGGCAAATGAATGAGCAAAAAAGAACATGAAATATTCAGAGAAAGTGTATTTATAAGTAATCAATATTTATAAGTGATTAAGAGCTGTTATCTTGTGAAGGAAACTTGCTTAGTGTTTCTTTCTATGTCAGAATTTCCAAAAGATTTCAGTTTTCACAAAACACTTCTTTGCAAAGCTAATTTAGCTTCAGATATTTAGAAATATTTCTACACTTTCAATTAGTCTACCTAAATTTTAGACTTAAACAAACATCAGAAATTTTCAGTGTCAGTTTGGTGTGGCTAACATACTATTTCTAGCTAATTAGAGATTCTAGATATTATTACTTTAGGAATAATACGTTGCAGAGCTGCTCAGTGGTATTAGAACCAGATGAAAGTACTGTTTATCATATGGATTTTTCTGCTTTGTGTGCTGTGTGGGAATATGGCCACTCTCCAGAGCTATGTGCACACCACAGATTGATGAGTTTGACCATTCTATGCTAATTACTATTCATGCTCTCTAAACAGACTTCTTTTTGCAAGATTCAACAAGTATTCAGCATGGAAATACAAACTTCACTGCTTTGTAAGTAAGATTATGGTTATAGTGTTCAGCATGGTGTTAATTTATTTTCAGTCTTGCTCTATCTTTATTTGGCAAACACTGGAAAGAATAACAGCAATAGTGGTTTGTACTGCTGTATGTACTATCTAAAACTGGATGTTTTATTAGAAAACACTTATGATGATCAAATTCCATAATTCTAGTAAAAGTTATGGAGGAGAAGAAAAATTACTCCCATCCTTCTACAAATAAAAGTAAAAAATGAAATTTCATCCCTCTGCATCCTTAAGCACATGTTAGTTATTACTGCTTTCAGGTTTTCTGATGTTACTACACAATTTAGGAGTATAAAGGAATGAGATAGTATTTGATGTAGAACCTACAGCACAAATGAAGCAGGTGTCATGCCAAGTGTGTCCAAGAGCTTCAATGAATTTATCTCCAGCTTCAACAGGATAATCACAGCCATGACATTTTGTGCTGAACAAAGCAATATAATCTGAAATAAAACAAAAAGCAAACTTAGAACAAACTCTTAACATAATCGTATTAAATCCAAAAGAAATAGAATGTTTCCAGACAATGAATGTTTTTATTGTTTTTGCTCAGTTTCTTACTACATTTACTGAAACACTTCTACTGAAATATGCTTCTTTTCTTTCATTATTTAAATACAAACTCAGTCCAGAACCCTCCATTAGTATGACATTTATCATCACAAATGTAGAAGACATACAAAAAAATCCATGGAATTTGAAGTTGTGTTTCTCACACTTTGAAATTAGCTTTAATATACGTGGAATCTATCCATAGGACAAATATGGTTGTACAGAAGAGTCTAATGACAAGGGAATGTTACAAGTTTCCATGCCTATATTAATGTGGTTTTTGCATAAAAAGAGAACACTATGGAAACGCCATATTGGCTGATTAATACATCTTTATTTTATCAGGTGTGATTTGGAAAGGTTTGACATTGAAAAATAATAGTGGAAATTCCGAAGGTATATGGAATCCATGAGAGTTACTTGATGTTCCAACAAAACCTCAAATTTTAAAGGGTAGGTACCCCGTCAGTCATGCTGTATGGATTCTTTTTCTTCACTAACAGCTACTCTGACTTGTAAAATTTGAATTGCATAGCCATAAGAAAGGAATCTCCAGAGAGAAGTAGGCCAGTTGCTCACTGAATGCACAAGGGGAATACAGAGGGAACATCACTTAACCTCCTTCCTGACTATGCCAAGCAACTAATTTGCATGGCAAGTACCATTTTGGGAAAACATGGCCCTTTCCTTTCTTAGCTGGCAAGAAGCAGTTTCTTTGTTGCAGCAGCCAGGAAACAAACTCTGCACCACCATGTGCTGCACATCTGTGCAGACCTATCTCTTCATAAGTGTTGGTTGAACAATTCTAGGTTGAGGTAACAGCATCAGAGGTCACAGCTCCAGCAACTCAGAGGGATTGTGGGAACTCTAGAAGACTAATTTTTAATTTCTGGTGAGCAGAATCTACCAAGAAGGGGAGTGGAACAGGGGAAGGAAAATGTGTAGGGAAGGAAGTGCAAAGTATGATAATACATAAGGGAGAGAAATGAGAGAAGGCATTGTGGACAGTGAGGCAAAGACCAATGCTCTGCCATTTTCTCATATAACTGGAGTAAAATACAGAGACACAAACACTCGTTCATGTGGAGAGGGGAAACAAAATCCATGCTGGATGGGGAACTGATATTATTTTGTTCACCAGGTGCTTTATTCTTATGTTGCTTCCATGAACACGAAGCACACAATTACTGTGCAGAACTATAATACCTTTCTCACAGTAAGGCTCCCCGTCCTCCATGTGGAACAGGCTATTCCCAAATGGCTTCTTACAAGCAGCACAGACAAAGCAACTTGTGTGCCAAGTCTGTCTTAGGGCATGCATCACTTCCTGTAAAACAAACAAACAAACAAACAAAAATCTCCAGCAGAATAGCCAGCCCTGCAACTTCCTCCCAGAGAATAAACACAAGGCAGAGATGCCCTAAATTCTTCCCTTCTGTATCAGCCAGTTCCCCTCCTCAAAAGAAAGAATTATGACAGAAATTGGGCTCTTTTTGGAAAGAAAGAGGAAATAGGACTGCAAGCTTTCTAAAACAATGTATTTGCCAAAGTGAAACAACATGGTTCAGCCAGCAGTTTGTATCAACATGCCCAGTCACTGTTGCAGGAGGGGTTCTGTACAAAGATTCTGATTATTTCCTCCTTTGTTTTGACATGACCAGTATGAACTCTTCAATGCAAGAGTATGATTTATTAAACAAATTTAAAAGAGTAATTTTCTAGGATCACGAATAAGTGGTGTAAGTCTGTTGTTACAAAATAATCTAGATTCTGTAGTAATTTCTTTATGCTTCTTCTTACAAGAACAATTCACAACCTGAGCTAAAAAAAAAAAATAGAAAAGGTTCTTTTAATTTATGTGATTAGTAAAAATGAGTCTGCATGTCTGTTCCTAAGCCACAAGTTTATCACAAAAAAACCCAATTCTGTGCAACTGATGTTCTCCTCAACTGAATACAACTAGATTTTTATTGGCTTCTTACTTCTGTCCAGTATGGAGAAATCTCTATTACTGCTTCATTCTTTTATCATACAGAAGTCTTCCAAGTCCAAAAGCTGCTGTACTAGGCTCTGATGCACAGTTACCTGCTAATTTGTCAATCTTATGTGCAGCCAGGATGATGTTTGACAGTGTATCTCTGTCCAACAGCCCAGATTTCAAAGGGCCAGCTGCATAACTGCTGTAAATTAACTTTGTTAGCTTCAGTGAAACAGCATTGATCTATACCAGCTGAGAATCTAGATCCTATTTTATGTTGCTTCCAATTATACACATAGACTCTGATTCTCTTTTAAAGATTGCTTTTAATGTCCACTGATTATGAGAAAATGGATTGAAGTCCTCTTCCATGCTTTCAATCCAGTGAATAGACAAAATAGTCTAATTTAGATTTGCCACATATCCCATTAGAGAATCACCATTTGAGATTCATTAACTTCTGTTACTGTTTGCAAAACAACTATTGCTGATAAATAGGTTTGGATTAATTTATGAATCTCAGTGAGGTAAGAAGCAAAAATAGCTTGAGAAATCTTATTAATATAAATAGAGGCAGCTGGCATCTTTGCTATTTTCCTGATGAAAATCCATAATGGGAAACTGATTCGTGCCAGCATTCATTAGGTAGGTTAAGTCAGCACTCTGCTATAAATTACTCCTTCTGCTGCAGTAGCAAACAAGACTTGGTTGGAGCCAGAGCTTCAGCATCTATGTCTGATGCTGCCACCCCTAATTGGCAGTTGCAGAGAAGAGCATCTGTAATGCCAACATTTAAATAGATGTCAAAAAGTGACAGCTAAGCGATGAAAAAACAGTGGGGGAACTCCTTGCTTCTTCATCTGAGCTATACATTCACTACAACTGCATGCATAAATATACTGCTAAAATTATTGATGGCATTCCAGCCTCACCACCATCTAAGGAGAGCAAAATAAATTGTACATTTACTTGTACATTAGTCCTTTAAGACAAGAGTAGAATTTTGTTTTTCGCTTTATGGAATATTAGTTTTTGCTTTGTGGAATTCAGATCTTTGTATTTATTCTGTATTTTCTTAACTATAACAAACCAGCAGAAATTGTCAACAGCTGTGCTACTAACAGTGAGGTGCAACAAGAGCAATGGGCCTCTTCCCAACATCACTGATTTCTCTACTGAAGTTTTGACTAAATCCTATGTAAGAAACAAAAATCCAGTTCAAGTCCCTTACTATAAAAAAGAGAAAGATAAAAGTAACATAATGTGTATCAGCAAAAAACTATCCAGAAAGTGTTACTTATTTTACACTCAGTGAGATGGTACCTGTATTACATATTCCATCTATGAGCTCAGTAAGGTACAGAAATATCCAATACTTCAGATGGAAAAAAATTATTATAAAATAATATGTTTCTCATTCTGAAATAATCAACAAGCTGGGAAATAAGTCTTAAAAGGATGAAATAATAAAACACCTACATTCACTGCTTACAGTCTAAATGATTTCACTGTTTCAGGGATCCACACAGCTGCAGAAAGGGTTAACCTTGTTCTCTTACCCCCATAATCTTGGTGTGGCATCTGGCACAGGTTGGTGCGAAGAACTGTTCATAGCAGCGCTCACAGTACACACTGTTCTGCTCCTCCACAAAGCACATATCAGCCAAGGATGTCTTGCAGTAAGCACAATTGAATTCTTCTGGGTGCCAAGAGCGCCCCATGGCTACCAGGAAAGGACCTCTGCAACCAACCATAATTTATTTGTAATCTTATTTAATCTCATTTGTAATGTGAAGAAAAGGTTGAATGACCCTGATTGCAAGTCCACTTTCTCAGACACCATGTACACATGTAAGAAGCTACTTGAACCATGAAGTGCATATTAAAATAACATTCAGAAACCCGAATAGAAGTGGTCTTTTCCAAGACCATTACTCACTGTTTAAAACATTTCATTATTGTTTGGTCTCATGCACTGCATTTACAGAAAACTATTGGAAAAATCAATTGTTTTCATATCTGCATAGCTATAAGTGGTCTTTGTAAGTAGATGCAAAGACAAAAGGAAAAGGCCAAAGGCAACAGAAGATAATGCTACTATTTGAAAGCATGAAATAACAGGCAAATTTCCATCTTTACACAACCACACCTCACAACAGCTCCTAAAGTCTCCTATCTTCTTTCTGTCTGACAGCATTGCATGCAGGATGTTCTAGAAATGTCAGGCTATCAGGTGACAGCTTGCTGTTTTGTTATGTGGAAGACACATTAAATTCATTTTGGTGATTGACTCTGGTGATTGTAATTAGATATAATGATTATTACTGGAATATTTCCATTCCAGAATATATGAAGGGCAATAATCAGCAGTTCCACATCACGAAACTAGCTCCTTTTAGTGAGAAAGACTGTCATTAAACATGGATTACTTAAAGTTGGATAGCAGTGTACAGGCTAACAGTAGGCACTGGTCCAGCAGAATGCATTGGGAGAGAAGGGAGAGGCATGCTATGAATCACTGGTAATAGAGTGTAGGCATTATCTTTCTCCAGACACAAAACCAACAATTACATTTGGCTGCTGTTCCAAAATGATGCCTTGTTCCTTTTCTCTCCACAAGCCCACCCTCTGCTCCCAGCCCCTTAACTCTCCCAAATGAAGTTGCACAAACCTCCTTCAAAGGGTTACCTTAGGACCAGAAACCTGTTTAAAATCAAGCAGAGATTTGCTGCAGCATCCAAGAGCCAAACAATTAGCATGTATAACTTTGAAAAAATGTGAACCTCACAACAACAAAATGAGCTCTGGAAATGTTAAATTAATGAAGCAGACAACAGACATCCCTGCTGGGTAATTTAACAGAATCTTAGGCTCTGGAACTGTACATTAATGTACAATAACCAGTCTCCCTGATACTTTTTTTCTGCTTCATTCCTCTTAAAAAGCCCGTGACCTTACCGAATGATGCTGTTACAGTGCCCGCAGAGAGGAGTTCGGCTGCTGGCAGGAAAACGCTCCGCCCTCTGAACTGTCCCCCGGGCTAATGCAGGGGGCTGGGAAGAAGTTGAAACTGGAGACGGGTAAGCAGAAATCGTGGCAGGAGATGGCACTGGAGCACCCCTTGGTAGGATGTGCTTTGTGACAGTGGTGGTGGATTTTCCAGGTGCAAATTTCTGGGAAAAGGAGTCATCTGTTACCCAGGGAGGGCGACTCGCAGGCTCCGTGTTGGCAGGGGTGTAGGAATGAACTGGTGCTGGCGCTGTTTTAAGCATCCCAAAAGAAACCAAGAAAAATTTTAAAGTCTTTTTCTTCTACTGTCAATACAGCAACACTTACCAAAGGGTACTCCACGACACACATACAATAAAAGCTTTATTTATCGTTAATTATGGCCTGTCCCATTGTTGCTCATTTATTCTGGGCTGAAGCCAAAGGTATCAGCACAATCACTGACTTCTAATACACATGCATTACAGAAATCATTGCCTACTGGCTTTTACTGATTTTACGGAGACCATTGTGAAGATCATCTCTTCATTTTGGAATAGAATGGAAGGAATAGATATGACAATTCTGTGATAATGTCAAAGACTGCCATATATTCGGTTTAAGACAGGTTAAAAATATAAAAGCTAGATAATATAGTACAGTTTTAGACAGAATTCCCCAGAATTTCAATAAGTTATGCTTAACTTTTGATCTCATTATATTAATTAAAATACAACATGTTCTCCAGATGTCCCTGTTATCTATCATTTGGAGGTTTATTCCTAGATTTTTGAATAAAAACAGGCTCCCACATGGGAAACACAGATAGAAGCACTGGAAGCAATACTGAGGGAGCCAGTTCAGCTCATATGACCAGCAAGATAAAGCCAACAGCACTTAGAGGAAGGCCAGACTTGTGGTTATGACTGATCTCAGTTCAGTTCTTGGCTCTGCCACAAATTTCCTGTATAACTTTGAGCAAAGCAAAGTGTGTCTGCACCTCAGTTCCTGTGTGTAAAACAGAATATTCTCCTATCTCTCTTCCACCCTTTGACTAGCACATAAAACCTTCAGTGCAGTCTGTCTCTGTGTTTGTGTGCACCAGGCTCTAATCTTGGGTGGAGCTTTATCACATTAAAATAAGCAGGAGCCAGACCCTGCACATCCTGACAAATTTTCCCATTATCCTGCTCTTTTCAAAACGTCAGATCTTGCATTATTTAGGACTGAAGTTACTGCCCAAGAAACAGCCTCACTTTGCCAAGTACAGGAACACTAAAAGCGGTTTCCTTTTGCAAGGAAAACAAAGCAAATGATTGAAAAGAAGCTTGGAGAGCTGAAGTGTTTTGCCCAAATGAGAGAACACAGGTTTGGAAACAGAAGCCAGTTCTCCAGCAGTCTGGGCAAACATTCCACATGCTAGATCCTAGTACCAAGAAAATCGTGACCAAATACAACACGTGCAGGTTTAAGGGGCTTGCAGGTAGAAAGGTATTTCAGAAAAGAGGGTTCTGAAAGTAACATGGATCTTTCTGAATAATGAAGTGGTGAGAAGTTTAACTTAACACTCCTCCTTCAGCCCACACCCTGCCTCATAATAACTTACACTGATTATTGGCAATTTGCAAGTGCTTAAATTGCATATATATCAACGCACTGTGATCACCCTTGGGATCTTTTTGTTGAGTTCAGAGTTGAATCTAGTGCATTTTCTTGATAAAAATTTCTTATGATACAGCATCAGCAATGTTTCTGCTTCACAGAACTGTATCCCACCTTAGCTTGAGGCTTTTTTATTTTGAACTTGGAAATGATAAACAGTATTTAAAGATTTCAGAACAGAGTTTATATGCAATCTCTTTAGATCCTGAGGCTCTTGCTATTTATGTATTACAGTATTAAGATATGCAAAATTAGAAGTTAATATTTAATCTCTAATCAATGAGTTCATAAGGCTCCCACCTATGAGGCTAATTAAGCAAGGTGACTTCAGCTCACTTCACTACATTCTCTCTACCTTCTATTTCTTTTCACTCTTTTTTTTTTTCCTATTTGCTGCAGTAAAATAAAGAAACAGAAAAAAGGAAAGTAAAATAAAACAACAAAATAGGATTTTTTTCCAGCTACTAAAAGGAAGTACTGGAGGAATTACTGCAAAATGACAAATGTTGGGTGTTTGCATCTGCTCTGAGTTCTCTTTTCAGCTATTATAATTCAATTTTACAGGCCTGATTTATAACAATACATTTTCCTTCTGTGAACAAGCTGCAATTACTATTGCTTCAAAATAGTATCACTGCAACATATTAGAAAGATTTCACTAACTTTGAGATTTTAGCAATTGTTATTAAAAGGGAATGATCTTATTTTCTTAGAAGTACATCCTTAACATATGAACAATTTAGTTCATATGAAGAATTAAGTACATATGAACATTAAGTACATATGAACAATTATTTTGTCTTACTTCCTACTGCCATACATATTCACCTTAAACATTTATGTATTTAAAAAAGTCATCCAACACTAATCAGGAGAAAAAAGGGGTCATTTGCTGCTAAAAAAGTACTAAGATTCAGTATATCAGAGAATATATTCTCAAAATACCAGTATTGTATGACTTGACCATTAACTGTTAAAAAATGAATACTTCAAATAATTCAGTAACTTAGCCTCTATCACCTTGTTTCTCTCAGACCTCTTGTTCTCTGGGAATGGGAAAGAATGAATGGCATTATTGTTGTCCTGAGAGAATGGCAGGAGAAGAGGTCCCTCTTAATAGGAGTAGGAGCAAGCCAATTCCTTGCTTCCGGGGAAGTTGGAACTCTCCCCCTCAGCTCTTCATTTAGGGCCTATGGCTATTTTCTCTCCAGACAAAAAGGCACATTACCAAGACTCATGTAATAAAGCAAAGATTTATAGAGTCTCAAATGCTTTGGTCACACAGACTTGCACTGTGAGAACATTTTTTTTTTTTTTTTTTTGTTAGTAGATGACATAAGTGTTACTCTTTATTATTATCAGTAACAAAATAAATTAATAACCACAACTGATGATTTGTTCTACACTTAGTGGCCACATCCTTGAATCCCAAAGTTTTCCCATATACTGTTACAGTACAGAGTAGATGACAGAGCAGATGATGTTTTATAGGGAGATAATATTCTAATTTATAGGAACTAAAGTGAAATATATGGAATCTTCTGGTTTAGTATGGAAGGTGCTTAGGATTCAATATAAAATTCATTAAGAACTGTGAGAATCTCTCTACCAATTCCTCAAAGAGCAGATCAGGCCTTTATGCTTGACCAATTTTGCATACACAAGTAGGCCCAGTTGGACTTAGGGATTTAAAAGGAAAGATCTGCTTTCTTACATTTAGGTATCGCGTTACTTCGTGGTACAGAAGTGGAGCTGGAGTGGTTTGGGATACGTGAAAGCCTATGCTGGCCTGGGAAAGCCTTCGGGAAAGGAACAGCCAGGTATGTTCTGCCATCTAGTGGGCCTTGCTCAGAAGAGAAGTCTGTGCTCCTTTAAAACACGGGTTATGAAATTTAGGGAGAAGATTTGAGAGTTCACAGCTTTCTCTACTGGAAAAAACGAAGGATCTTTAGCAGCAGAAAATTTCCCACTTGAGTTAGGTTAGGGAGATGTAGACTGCCTGATAAATCCCATCTGAGCCAGATACTTAACAATGCAGTTTCATTTTGAGATTTTAGTTTGTTTGGGTTTTATTTTCAATGTGACATTAAAATAGCCTTGTAAATCCTCTCAGTGACTGATTCAGGAGTCTCTGTATTGAATATATGAGCCTGTTGATTGGTGTTTTAATATGGAAGTTGCTGCCCCACATTTCCAAGAGAAGCCAATCATTGACAAAGTTGGATGAGGAAGTTTTCTAACTGTCTTGGTGGTTTGCTTCTAAGTACTATTGATTTTCCCATCTGTTACAGGAAATGTTATTTCGTCCATTTCTTCCCAAGTGGCAATTTCCCATTTGCTCTGCAACTGTCTCTGAGGATAGCTCATGCTCCAAAACCACTCTGAAGTGCTACTACATCAAATATAAAGTACACTTTACAGAGTACCAAAACAAGAACCAAACATCTTCACTGAAATCTCTGCCTGGAACCTCTCTTGTAACTGAGTCACTTCAGGGTTCAATTATGAAGGCATTTTAGAATCCCTTATTGGATATTTCAAACTTCTAAACAGTACAGGAGGACCTTTTCTTTCTCTGCCAACTATTTAAGCCTTTATTGAGAGGCAATGAGGCTCAAAAGCAGCAACCGAAGGAATTGCAAAGGAACACCAGGAATGTAAGGAAGTGCAAAAAAAATGCCCAACCCAGGAGAAAACAAAAGCCTTTCCTCTTATTCCAAGTGGAATTCAACAGCCAGCTTTGACTTTACCAGATCCAGCCAACAATTGGAAATAGCTGCAGATGTGGCAGGTTTGTATATTGAACTGGAGTTTATACTTCCCCAAATGAGCACAGGGTTTAAAATCAGTCAGTGTATTTAGGAGGTATTTTGATTTGCCAGAGTTTGCTGTCTTCTGCATTATAGAAAAAAATCTGTTGTCGTTGTCTTTTCAAGTCAAAAATAATAGCATTTGCCTTGAATGAGAACATGGTATACACTGGCACACAACTAAAGCAAATGAGGAAGAGCTGAAGGTTTATTTACTATGAGACCCTTAAATAGCTCATGAGAGCTCTGACTTGACTTTTCCTACCTTTATGTCTCAAATATAAAGATCAATTGATTTGTCTGTCTGCTTTATGTCTAACTAAAATTCCTACATTTGTTTAAGTTCAGTAGATCCAGATTACAGAAGACAGAGTTTAAGACTTAGAATTCTTGGCCTTTTCATGTTTATTTGACTGTAAAAATATAAATCAACATTTTAATTCTCTTGCTAAGATCAGAAAAACCTTAATTAGAAACAGAACTGCCTTTAGACTTAAATTGGTTTCTCATTTAATTCACTCAGTTTGAAGGTTCACATTTTGGTCATCAATGGTTTCAGAAGCCCAGTCCATTTGTAACACATTAATATCGAGGGAATTGAAATAATATCAAAGAGCATATTTTCCAAATGAATGAATAACCAAATATATTCCTTAGGTTACTATCTCTGGGAAATGAGATAGCATTATGAGGTGCTTTAATACCTCATTCTTTATTTCAAATATAAGCCTAAGTTTGAGAAACTCAATATATGGTCTTACCTATTTTGCAAATATATCCTATTCAAGCAAACTCCACTTATTTTACCTCCCTCCTGAACTGTGCATTCTTTTTTAGCCATTTTCTCAATTCTGTAGTGTCACTGGGCTCCTAATTGGATACACGGGTTATTTTTCAAATGTATTTCTTTTGAAAAATCAGGTTAGACCTTTTTATTAGACTTTTCCCTTGCTTTTATTTTCCCCTCTGTTTGTTTCACGTTTTAGTTCTGAAGTAGAATACAAATACAACATAATCCTTAATCTTTAAATAATCTGAGGCAAAACTAGCAACATTTAGATCCACATGTATAAATACTTTCTGGTATGTCTGTGTGCAAAATGTGTACTTTCTACATTTTCTTTTTCCAAAAGAAATGTGTGAGCATTTTTTTCTGAATATTTTAATTACTTTGAAGGCTCCTTACCTGGCTGGTAGACAGAGGGCTTTATGCTGGCAGTAGTAACAACTCTTTTTGAAGCAGCAGAAGAAGCAGGACTTTCACTGTAGCTTCCAGAAACTGGCATTGGTGTATATGACTGGATTGTGTTTCTGAAAGCAAAATGTAGGTGTGAACATCTTTATAAAGAGCAAAAGTTACTGATCATGGAGTAACAGATCTGGCAGCGTCCAGAGCACTCCAAGAGGATCTCTCTGTGAGAACTACAGAGAGAATGCTGGGAGATTCATCAGTCTTTGTCGTTGCTAAGAAAGGCTTGGAAAATTCTTTGAAAATAAAAATTAATCAAATAAGATTTTAAGTAACGGCAAGTTTGCTGTTGTTGTCATCTCAGAAAATAGCTTGCTGAGAGAATATGATAAATTTGAAACTCTCAGTAACAAGGGATCCGACTTCACAAAGCTGCACACAAAGTTTGTATTTTCTTTTCCTCTGCAAAAGCAAAAAGGTCTGGTCTTGTCTAAGATAAGTCAACGAGTCATATCTGGACTTAAAAATGCACTTGCTCAGCACAGTTATTACTATTACAAATGTTAATTAGTATTTATATACTGTTATACTATTTTCAAAAATATTGAAGTGATCTTTAACATTTTTTCTGAAACTAATTCTTTTCCCAAGTTAGACTGAAAAATTTACATTAATTTTCCTACTGCTCAGATTTATCCTTCAGAAAAAACCCCATATGATATGCAATATTATGATGCTCTTTCTTCCAGTCCTAGAATAAAAACATTTTCTCACGATTCCAAAAATCAGTTAGAAACAGTTTTTCTCTATCTTATGGCTGAGATGGTGATTCTCAGTTTGATTACAGAAACAGATTTCAAAATATGCCTCTTCTATCTGCCAGTTACTTGAGGTGACTCTGTTTGTAGTGCCTGTGCTTCACAGATTGCTGAAAGAGATCACAGTCAAAGCAAGCAAGAGAGAATAAGAAGTACAAGGAAGGGAAGCAACAGATAATGAGATGAGTGCAGTAAGAAAAACCCACTCACTACAGAACATCCTCCTTACTCACCCTGAAAACAGTTTTGCTTGTTTTTTCCCTTCAGTGTCACTCTCCCTATGAACTAGATCCCTATCTATTTGTGCTGACAACTAATGAGTTATTTCCAAAGTGGGTTTGTCTATAGGAAAACATTTGTCAGCATATGAAAAGAAGCATCCAGCTTTCCCAGACTATTGGTCCATCTTGACTTTACTTTCTTTAATAGTGGAAACAGATGCCCTCTGGAGAAAACATGTTATAACCCTACATGGCAAACCCAGCAGATTTCTTCCAGTGCAGGTAAGAAACATTCTGAGAAATGGAAACTTTCAATTTTTAATTTTCAACAAAATAAACCTGTCCTCAATGTAGTTTGCTTCTATGACAGTGTTTCTACTATAGATTTAGTTTGCATAGCATTGCTGCCTCAGGCTAATTTATTTTGTCTATTTAGCAAGACCTAGAAATTTAGCTATTGCTACAATGGCTATAGCTAATTATTTCTGTACCTAGTCTAGGGGTTAGGCCTGGATTTGGGTCCACTGTACCGTGAGTGAACACGACTCTCCACGATAAATTATTTTAGTGGGTTTATATTCACTGTAAATTCTGTTCTGAACCATGCTGTGGTTTTGTAACTGCCAAAGCTGTTCAAAGCACTGTAAAACTTTCTAGTTTCCATTCTTACTGTCTATTTCCTGATGAGACCTCCTGTGTGGTACCTAAGAAGCACTGTGCTTTGGATCATGGGACAGAGGCATTGCTCCTGCCATAGCACAGGGACACTGTGGGCACTCTGGCTTCACCCACAGCTTTCAAAATCAGCTAAACACATCATCTGAAGACTTGTCCTTCTTTTAAAATCTGCTACTCAGGGTAAACTACACAGCTCAGTGCCCAATATTTACAATGTGGGTTAAAATATTTTAAAATGACGTGTCACACAGCCTGAATCTGAAAATGTCAGCCAGTCAAGAAAGTCTACTCCCAGGTGCATAGGTCCAGTGGTTAGAAAGACCCATTTGAATCTCTCTTAATGCACAAAATAAAGAAAGAAGTTCTGAACCAGATTAGTAATACTTAAGACTGTCACGAAGAAAAATGGTTATTCAAAATTCAAGTGTTTCCCAAATATAATAGCATAGTAAAACCATACCCCCCCATTCATACTACCAAATTCAAAGCAAAATTAAAAGTAGTACTGAATCCTTTTAACTCTTTTACATGATTATGATGCATATTAAATACAGTAAGAAAGATAAGAAAGCTTATCAAAGAGAAATAAAGTGTTATACTACATCATTAAGGGTTTAGTGAAAGAAAGGATTTATCAGAATTTCTGCTGAAGAAAAGGAAATGGCATATGATTAAAAGAACCAAAAAAAAAAAAAAAAAAAAAAGAAACAATAAAGAAGGAAATTAAGAAAGAATAAAAAGATGTTGTAAGGACCAAAGATGCTTTAATGGATCAAGAAGCACTGGCATCTCAAAAGCAGTGAAAGCAACCTAATTGAATTTATCTGTAGCAGTCAATGGCATGTGACACAGGCAGCAAATTAAATACCGGCTCTGAAAACTATTAGTTGTCAGAAAAAGAAAGAGTAAATATTTCTAAGCAGATAATTTTTATGTTAATGCTTCACCAGATGCCTAATAGTAGCAAGAAACTGGTTTGTTAAGTGCTTTTAAGGTAAAATAGCTGCACAAAACAGTCTTATACCTCTGCTTTGACTGGTAGCTGATGGAGGTGGAAGAATGCCGGTTGAAACTAAAATGAGACAAAAGTGGTATTTGAAAAAATATACACAAAAGATTGGGATATCTTGCCCTACTATGAATTTCCTATGAGTAAGAAAGGCTCTTAAACTAAAGTAAACAACATGTATATATTTATAATCATATAAGTATTACATTACATTTTGTTTTCTTATTTAAGCTGGGAATCACAGTGAAACCTGAAGAATGGTAACATAAGTCAATAAGCTCAGTGCTCTATAAGTCACTCTCATCTCATCTTGTTATTTGATTGTGAACTCCAATTATTTTTATTAACAGAAAAAGGAAAGAGTGATTTTTCACAGTGTCATAAGTTTACATTGCATCAAATCTGAAAAGCAAACCCTGAATGAACCAAAAGCCAAAGATCAGAAGTGCCCCAGCTTGTGAGGCAGCTCAGGCAACCCCATGGAAAGGACAGGCTGGTGTAGTTGAAGCAAAAACATCAACCCACCATGTTCAACTTTTGCCTTGCAGAACTTTTCTACTGCTACAGTCTTAGGTAAGCAGGTAGATTTTTTTTTTTTTCCTTGGGGAAACAGCATGATTTCAGAACATAAATGAGTCATTTATGCAAAGGAAGTACTTGAAAGTGTGCATAATGTACGATCTGAGAAACAAGAGAATTCAGAATGAACAGAGCTCCTGTCTGCAGGGCAGTGCATGGCTACAGGGCATCAATCCCATCCCACAGGGGCACAGCCCACATTTCCCAGGACCACCAGCAGTCTGCCTTATGCCAATTATTTTCCTAACTTCTGGAGAAGGGTTTTTCTTCCCTTTTCCATGGACACAGTGTTTGGATTAAAAATCTCTGGATCAGAACCTACACTTGACTTTTAGAACCATAATTGTAACTCTTTCCATTGTTTCTCCTGGTTTTGTATTCCCAGAGTGCCCTGCTTTAGCCCTCTGGATGGAATAACCCCTCCCTGAAGAGCTTCAAGCTTATTCAAAACTCTCCTGCTGTGCTTGCTTCTTTTAAGTAAGATTGTAAGTGGAACAGATAACAATAAATCAGAATTTTACTGCAGATGTAAAAGAGTAAGACAGTCTGTTAAAGATTAGTGATTTACTTCAAACACTCCTCTTCAGGAACATTATAAAGATTTTACTCATGTTAAGTGTTATGCATATGTTCACAAAAGCTAAGTCACTACAGAACAGGATCTACTAAAATTTAAAATCAGATTTAAATAGTTAAGGATATTGATCAAGAAATCCTCCCGCGTTTTCTTGGTGGATGTTTTTAAAACATCTAAAAGGAAAAAAAATACCAAACACTGGAATAATGGTGATAAAATCTCAGCCTCATCTACCCGAGGATATCCCCATCCTGTAAAACACTGGTGTAATTAAGGTCATACATATATTTTTTTTAAATAAAATTATATTAAATGCTCAATACCTCTCTGGTATATGTAAGCTAAAACTGGATTTTTAACTCTGTATTTTGCCATGTTTTAGCTTGATTTCTGAATGAAAACTACCAGATGCTCAAAAATTTGAATTATAAATTAATTTAGAAGCCATTTTTAGTCCCTTACATTTTAATACACCAGCTGTAATACATAACAATTTTAAAAACAAACATGGCAGAAGTGCACCAAGATAAAGAACCTATTTCAGCTGCAAGACAGTCATCCAAAACCAACCAACCAAGCAGAGTTCACTTCTTGTACTTGATTATCAGGGAACCAAATTTTTACAGGTCCTACAAGTCTCTGATTTGCCCTTATGTGCCAAGACTTGCTGAAGCCAAGACAGTAACATGTGCCTGTTGGTAACAGGGAAGCAGATGACAGCATCACACTTGTGTCATCCACTGACAAAGCAGCAGTGTATAAAGTTGATATGCTGTAGATCTTTTCTGTGTGACCAAAATAATTGCCAGGTGTCAGCAAGAGGCTTTAGGAGACTGATTAGAGCATTTCTTTTTGAAATGGACAGATGTTTTTCATAGATTCACAGAATCTTTGAGGTTGGAAGAATCCTCAGGAAGAATCTGATCTAACCTGCTGAAAGCAAGGCCAGCTCTGAGGTCAGACCAGCTTGCTCCATATTTTAGCCAGTGATGTCTTGAAAACCTTCAAGAGTGGAGAAACACAGCCTCCCCAGACAAGTCACTTCCTTTCAAAGGGGCAGGAAAAGCAGCAATGGTCCATGACAATCTAATTTACTAATTTACTTTCAATTCCAATGCCTCAATACCTCAATGTCATCTTTTTATCCTCTTCAAAATTTTTTTTCACACTGATTAGTCCATGTTGGTACATAACTACAAATGAATTCATATGGTTTCAAGGCCTCACACTGCTTCCCTTCTCCCATTAAATGATATAAAATTTAAGGGAAATGGAAAAAAGCTCAATCAAAAAAAAGTATTACATTATCTCTAGGAAAGCCATTCAAATAGTGTTAGCAAGTCCTGGTTATCTTAATACTAATTTATTAGCTGTTTATATGTAAATTATGCATAATTGTTGCTAGCTCCATGGAACTAGATGATCCTTAAGATCCCTCCTAGCCCAATCCATTCTAGCATTCCATGATTTCCAAGGCAGGAATGAAAACAAGCTCTAAGGAAAGATTTAGATGGATCATAAGATGTAGACTGGTGAAACATGAATAGATGTGCTCTGTCTGGACAGAGTAGTCACCAAAGCTTCCATTTAATTTAATCTTCTGACTAATTTCAATCTTCAGCTGAAAGAACCCCTAAAATCAAGTGTAGCTCAGGAGAAATAATAGGTTTTGCAGGCCATTGTTTAATCAAACTCAAATATGCACAGTTATTATTGCTTGGAAAGCAAGGAGCCTTACCTGAATGGAAGGGGCTTCTGGAAACTAAAGTTGCAATTGGTGTACTTCCCCTCATCAGCAGTCAGTTTTATTCCCTATGTTTTAATACTTCCTACTAGGAACTGATAAAATACTGGAACTGATAAAATACTGGGACTACTTCCCCTATGTAAGTCACATGGCTGTAAACAGACATGTTCACGTCCTTAAACTGAAAACTCTTTTGATGTTTTGTTCTGTAGCTATTTCATTTTTGCATTGGTTTTAGCAATGTGAAGCCAACCAAACTGCTATTAAATACATTCTGTGCCAAGCACTTAACTGTTCTTTGATTTTCCTGAGAAAGACCATTATACTTTTTGGCTTCATTATACTCAAGCCTTCAAACTTGAGTCCTTTGTCAATTCCAAACATCATCTTTGTGTGATTCCTAGCTATTTTTTTAATCTAAAGATAAGACACACATGGATGATTACAATCTCAAATGTATTGCTGATTTAGTTTTTTTTTTTTTCTTAAGATTGTTCAAATTGTGTTCAAATGAGTCTTAAAATCACCTGCTTTTTCCTCTGTTAGTTGTCAAAGTGATATGAAAGCAGTGAAAAGGCTTGGAAATGAGGCAGTACAGCAGCATTCTCTCTTTCTAGTGATAAAAGATTCCTGTGATCTTGCATTTTCACCAAGAAAAAAAAAGGTCCATCATTCCACCCAGTGTCTCTAGACAAATATTTTCATTTTAGGATGGCAAAAGCAGTACAAACCAACCAAGTGAAACACCTCTGTTCCAAGAGGACCTTGTGGTCACACATCCTACGTAGCTGTTTCCTAGCTGGGTTGTTGAGCAGAAGATAAGGAAGGGGCTGTTCTTTTAAACACGTTGTGCTTTTTCCACTCCCAATTAAATCCCTTCAGAAACTGAAAACCTCATATCAGAGAGCATAATACAAAATCAAAACAAATTAGGTTAAAAGAAGAGAGCATTACAGATATACCTAGACTGAGATGAAATAGCAGATGAAATAGTGGAAGCTGCTAATGACATGTTCTTGGGCCCATGGAAAGGCTTAGGCTGGGAAAGTGAGCTGGGGGCTGCAAGAACTCTGCAGAAGACACATAAAAGCATGAAAGCATGAACAAAATGATCTAACAGAGGCACAAATCAGAACCAAGCTCTGGCAGGATTCAGATACAGGAAGACTGCTGCATAGTTACCAGGAACAGGTTTTCTGTGGCACACATCTGCAGACTTACAGAATAGCACAACCAAGCACATTCCTACAGAGCACAAGGCAAAATGCACACATTATGGAAACATTTTAAAACCAGACTCTATCAATAACTAAGAAAGACAATATTACAGGACAGGACTTTTGTCAATGATACATGCTTTTATCTGAAAGATCTGAAGATGTTTGACTCTAAATACAAGATAAACATTTTACTAGGCTAACAGTCCCAGACAGAAGATTGTCCTATCAAAACTAGAAATAATAGGAATAATAAGTTTAGTAGAGACGTTTTTTTTGTCTGAAACAGATACTAGGTAATGCATTTTCTTTATGCTATTGTTTCAACTGAGGGATAAAAATTACTTAAACCTTATCATTATTTTATGTGGAAGTACCTCTCAGGCCAGTTCTGAATTAGAGCATAAGACCTTATTCAAACCTCCTTTGCTGTCTGGAATAAAACCACTGCATTCTAATAGGTCATGGCTAGGTAAAAATTGACTAAAGTGAGAAACCAATTAGTTGGTATATACATAATGCAAGTCAACTAGCAAAAATTAATCAAGAAGTAGCGCCAAGAGAACATTTCCAATTCCATTTATACATACCTAAAGTATGATACCTCTGAGGTCTCAATTATTTAAAGTGGTTTATATTACTGGAAGTGTGTTTTTCCTTGGATTTTTAAAGCATGCTAAAACAGACATCTTCTCAGAATATTCATGTAAGATAAAAGAATATTATGTACCAAAAACTCACTATCTCCAAAATTACTGTAATGTAAGTGACAGCTGTATAAATCCCACACATTTCCTCACAAGCTGTCTGACAGTTTTTAATATACAACTGTAACTCCCGCTGTGCTACAAGTGTTAGGAATGTATCTCCTTGAAACTTACTTCAGCTCAAAGGCTAATTCTCATTAGGAAATAAAGATCAGATAAATTTAATAGAAATGAATTTATTTAACTTACAGAGCAAGTCAATCAAGTGTCCACCATGTTTTACTGATATCTGCTGAGACACCGTAAGCTCAATCATGTGAGTAAATGACATTTTCTGATTTTCCACTTCTTGTCCTACTGCAGAAACACTATTAAAAGAATTTCCATTCACTGCAACTAATATGAGGAGTTGTTTTGGTTTTATTATAAGTGGTGTAAAAACATTTCTAATTTTAAGCCCAGAGTTGCTTTATGAAAATGAAGTTATTTATAGCCCAGTTTTATTTTGTAAATTCTATGCAAACATGAAGAACATATCACAAAATTAAAAAAAAACCCACACTAAAAAAAAAAAAAACTAAAAAACCCAACCCCCTCAAAATATAAAAAAGCATATAAACCAGGTTACAGCTTTTCATATTACATTCTTATGTGTATATGCATACATACATAAGAATGTGTATGCAGCATTTCCAAAGCCAGAGGGGTATAAAGCAATGGAGCATTACCTTTGGAAGGAGGACGAGAAAGACTCTTGCACTACTGAGGTGGTGGCTGGTGCTGTCATCAGGCTGGCTGTGTTTGGAGCAGCAGTAGCAGGCTGAGGTGCTGAAGCATGTGGTGCAGGAGCAGCAGGACTGGGAGCCACCGGGGCATGCTCAACAGGGGTACTAATTAGAGTTAAATTAAATAAAACAAGAAGCATCTTAAGAAGGCGTGCATTTACATGGAGAGCATAAAACCTACTATGTTTGAACCTGCAGCTGCAAACATAGTAGCTGGCTGGGTTACTGAGGGAAAAGCACAATTATGCAAAGAAAAAAAAGACATTTGTTCAGCCTTTTCCATTGTGCAGTTCAGACTGCAATGGAGTGTTGGTCCTGCTTGACTGAAATTTACCCCAGGTGTCAAAGAGCACTTCAGTCCTGCTCCCACTGATGCCAGTGGTAGGAAATGTGGCACCCAGGACTGAAATGGCTGTGAAGAGCCTGTCACAGTCTTGTGAGCTCATATAAATGCCATCAAATATATTGAAATGAATTATAATAATCTAGTCTTGTATCCTGTGACAATTTAAGTAACTTGTTGAACTACTTCCATCATGTCCTCCAAATCTGAGAATTACTCATCTCATACAGACAGACAAATGAAGCAAAGTTAGCAGGTTTTATTTAAAATCAGGGCATCACTGTACATAGTTGTCTTGTCCATGAGCAGTGGCCTAGAAACATAATGGATATATGTCTACTTCTTTAGACCTATGTCATAAGTATATTGTCACATCTCTGTGTTCTTAAAAATGACTCCTATCAGGGTGATGGAATTCAGTGATTCTCTTGCTCAAGGTACGTATGCCCAAAATGCTCCTTCCTGAGCTCAGCAAGTATCAAATAACAAAAGAAACCTTACAGTTCCACAGCTGTTTCTTCAGGCAGCCTTGGCCTTCCAACTCTCTCTCTCAGCGATTTTTCCTAAGCAGATTTACTATCCATTGTGCAAATTATCTCATATTTTCTTTTGAAAGCAGAAGCACTAACTTGACAAGTTATATTCCTCAGGACCTAGAACGAGTTTTTGGTACTTCTGAATTTGGGATACCCCTTGTTCTCCAAGGGACTGTCCCGTGTCCCCTGTCCTTTACCTCCTCTTGTAGAGTTCAATAGTCTACATGATAGTGTCTTAATTCAGCTGAATATTTTGTTTGATTAGCTGAAACAGAAGCTGGTTGTTATGCCCACAAATCTCAGAGTTGAATGCAGCCCTCAATAAAAGCAGGAAATCGGTACTTTTCTCCCTTATGGAGATTCATCTGCAATTATGTAGATATAAATAAGTTCCTGAAAATAATCATCCAGTTTGCAATTCTGGCTTTCAAATCCTTACACCAAGTTTTGCAACGGTTTTGCAGAAGTTCATCCATTGTAATATGCATTTGAGAGTCAGATGATTTCCTCCATCCTGATGCATTTCATGATGTAAATTCTTCCAATTAACTAGTAGACTATCATTTTCACAGCCTGTGTAACAGAGTAGCTGTGTATTATCCATCACAGCTAATCTGGTACTGAATTTCAACACTGTGAAATTTTCCCTGTGCCACAGTGGGTACCAGAATTACCCCATTAAAAGCTGTGGAGTCACAGCTTTCATCTTACAGACTTATATATCTTTGATTTGGTAAACAGGAAAGGATTGAAACTATGCTGCACATAAAAATGGAACTTAATGTATATGTTAAAAACAAACACAAACTAGGATTTCACCTATTTTGTCTATTTGTACTGATGTGAAAGGGAATTTGTTCCAGATTTCAAAAGATTCAAGACTTCATACCTTGAAGAGTGCAGTGAACTTAATTAATTGCAACTTAATTGTAACAATTTCCAATATAATCAAAATACATATTCAGTGATCAATATTGAAAAGAAAGTAAAAAAAAAAAAACAAACCAATCCATATGTGTGGACATGGACCTGTGTGGAGACAGATTTGAACAGAACACACCCATATAAATAAAATAAATGCAAATATACTAGAATACCTCTTAAAGTTTGAAAGAAATGCAAAGAAATTCTATCTTGCATAGTGTTTATAATATTTCTTTTTATATGATTAAAATGTTGGAGGCTTGCTTACCTTCCTTCATGGTAGAATATATTAAATATCAGAATAAGGAATTGAAATAAATATAAGTGAAGTGGATATAACCATAAAAATCAGACTGGTTTGGTTACATAAATTATATGCAGTTGATAACATTTTCAAAACAGTTTTATAGAACATGCTCAAGACTAACTCGACTAGCTTCAATCTATCAATATAAATTTTACATAATTTTATTTGTATTGTCAAATGCAATAACCAAACTGGGTTTTTTTTCCCCTCCTCCTTTCTGGTTTTTTAGTCTGATTTTTCATTTTAGTTCTTCAAGCACAGAAGAATTTTAAGAATTGATAAATGTGAGTACTGCTTTATAAAATAGATCATCTAATGCAACAGCTTCATTATGACATGTTACAGAGAGTTTTTTGGTTGGTTGGCTGGTTTTTAAATACAACAATTTTGTAGACTTTAAATCTTTACAGTACTTTGTATTTCAAAAGAAATTGAAGAAATCAAACATCTTCATATTTGTAGTAACAAACATAAAAGTAAGTTAGGTAGATGAAAACAAACACACATCTCTTCTCAGCTGATTTTCACTCATGAAAAGGAACACAGATCAGTAGAGGTTAAGAGGATAATAATGGTTAAAAATCATGATGAGAACACAGCAACAAATGCACTCTAACATTTAAAATACAAGTGTAGATTGTACTTTTTTCTCTTGGTGAAGTCCTAAGTTCTGAGACTTTCTATCCCAATAACAAGGAGTGGATGATTAAAATAGCACTTAGTGTCCTTTATGTAATGCATGAAGGTTTTTGTGTTTCTAATCCTCCAACAGAACACTTAGAAAGAACCAAAAATATAGAGAACCAAAACTAAGATGGATATGGAAAACAATCTGTTATTTCATCATTTGTAGAAGAAAAGTGCCCGAGAAAGTAATTAGAGAAAGCGGTAACGCGGAAGGATTTAATATTTGAATATGGAAATGTTTGTGGAATCCACTGAAAATACAGAAATATCAGCTGCTGCTTCTCTGCTGAAGATGCTTAATGACTTGTCTCTGTATTGTGGGTGTGATCCTATGAGAGCCACGGAAAATGTAACTCCCACATGAACCAGAACCTGCTGGAATTGGAAGAACTTGAATGTCTGCCTTTGAGGCAATGGGCATTTCCATCTGAAGGAGTTAGAGGTTGTTATTACCAAACCATTGCAAAGCTCCAAACCGGGTCAGTGATGCAGTTACACGGCACAGTGTACCTTTGGTTACTGGATGAAGCAAGAGGGGCTTTCTGGCCAACACCGGCCTCCCCCTGGCTTGTACCTGCTCCAAGCCTCACAGACCCCTTGGAGGCCACTGGCTGAGCATTGGCAGTGTTGGCATCCCTGGTGGATGACTTAGGAGGATGCCAAATACTCGAGGTCACATACTGGGGCGCATGCGCGGTACCTGTAGGCCTGGGTAACAGAGATTACAAGGGTGTTTGTAAATGAGGCACTTCCCAGGTAATAGCAGGGGTTTGAGGAACAGACAGAATTCCAGCCACAGATGGAGCTGGAGATCATAATGACAATGCAGATGAAGTAATCTTGATAGTTCATTGGTTAATTATTGCTTAAAACCAGGAAAGGCTTGACAAATTAAAAAAAGTACCTTGTGTTAAATAGGGAAATCATATTGCTGTGAATATCAAAATAAGCAGAGCTGTCATGGTAATGGAGCTGGAGAAAGGCTATGGTATGACAGATCACACAACATTAAGATAACATAGGAGGACAATAACACCAGTCATATATCAGAAATTGTTCCTGGCAAAATAAAATAATAGTTAAAAGAAAAAGAGATTTCAGTGAAGCAGCTGCATAGTCCTATAAATGGTTTTACTGGTGAAATTCTGGCATCTGCTGGTGAAATTACAATTTAATTTAGATTCAGGAATCAAGAGTTTATTTGCTTCTTTTTTTATTATTATTAGTTTAAAAATAAAAACCAATTTTCCCAACTGCTCAAGTGACAGTTGCCATCACTTGTGTCATTATTAAAAAATAATGCTTGCACTCAGATATTAACTCTTTGCAACCTTCGTTCAAATATCAGCAGTCTTAAAAAAACCCCAAAAATAAAAAGTGGTTGCATATCACTGAGGCAGGAATCAAAAGCAAAGAGAAAAGCTGTAGTACAAAATTCTTTTAATGACTAACTACTAAGAGGCCTTTCTTTGCTCTATTAAATAACTGGGCAGATTCACTCAAAATATACCTGTGTATCAGTACTTGGTGGTTTAATTAATTGAAAACAACACATTTCTATACTTAACTGCAAAATGTTCTGAGATCCTTTAGGAGAAAACAACTTGACATGAAAGAAATTACACAGGGACTGTTTTGAATCTCATAACCCATTGTATCAATCTTGAGAATCAATCAAGATCTGACATATAAATGTTCTTAAAAAGATAATGTTCTTTAAAAGCATCTTGAACAGTTTAGACAAAGCTTAAAATAGAAATTGGTCTCAAAACTCCATCACAAACTGACAGGACACCATTTCAAGAATATTTGATTTTAAACTTCTTATTTTTCAGGTTTGTAAGTTTTGAGAAACACAATCCCCACCTGTTCCACATCATAGTGCATCAGAAAGAAATGCCTAATGAACCCACTTAGCTGAAGCCTCTACTTTCATCATCTGCTCAAACAGTGTATAAATGTCATGGTTTTGAGGTAAGAACAATATGGAGGAAGTGGAGATAAACACTTAACAGGAAGTAAATCAAACACAGCAAACATTACCTGTTTTCTGATGCTGCTGCAAGGTTTTCCTTGTCTCTGTGAAAGGAGGGGATACAGTATGAAATAAATGCAATTGCCAGCGACAGCAAAAAACTCCCACCCAAAACAACCAGGGCAGAAGAACATGGGCTGGGGAGAAATGTTTGGTTGCAAAAAGCATCCTAGAGTGGTTGCTCATAAATATAGCTGTGAGAAACCTCTTCAGCTTTCCAGATGAAACCACCAGATATATAAGTTTGCTGTATTCCTCTTACCAGTTGCAAACAACTTTGTTTCAATAATAAAATAAAAGGAAAATTAATGGTTACAAATGAGACATTGTATGTATGTATACAATTTCAGGAATAATTTTGACTTTAATAAGTTTCCTTTTAAAAAAGAATTCAATAATATTCCAGCAGAACATACTTGGATGCCAAATCCAAGCAGTGAAAACAATCAGAGTTGGGCAGTCCTCATGGACCCGATATTTTGAAGTGATAAGCAGTTAAATGGTTAACAAAGACTTACACAAAAAGGATTTCTTATGCCTGGTATCACCTAAAAATTCTCTGCCCTATCCAAATACTAGTTTTCTCAACCTAAATTGGATTAGAAACAATTCCTTCAACTGGAAATCATTCCTTTGTTGAGGTGAGGATTAAGTCAGCCTCAGTTTCACGGATAGAGAAGTGGGCTGTTATTCTGTAAACACACATACACACTTAAAAAATAACTGATCTGTTTAAAAGCAATTGTTTATCTGTAATTGTTTATCTGTAAGTTGACACAAATAATTTCATAAAGAATAGAATTCATGAGCCTTAAACACCTAAATTTGAAATCCAGTTAGTTAAGTAATTGAGATAGTCTCTCTATTTAGCAATTTAATGGGTGATTGTATCCCTTCCTATTTAAGGAATTGAAATTTCAACAGGTTTAAAGCTGAAATATGGCAAATGAGAACACTTTTCTTAAGTGGCATGTAAAATTACAAACCACAAAGCAAATGTCCTCATTTACCCAACTGAACCTTCTTCCTGAAGCATTCTTTGAAAGCAAAAAAGGAATACATGCACTTCTTTATATGGATTTGCTGGGCTCCAATCATTACCTTACATGTTTGGAAGGCTATTCTTAATATTTTTCACATTATTATCAGTACTGTGTTTTTGTACTTATACATTTACATGTATACATACAGTCACATAATCTTTCCTTAGTTTAGTTCCAATAAAGTTATAAAAAACAATCCAGTTAAAATCAGCAAAGGCTTGGGCACATGTGCTCTCTATGAATTTTTAAGACCTCTAATTAAAATGTAGCCCTAAAATACATGAATTGAAGCCAGATTTTGAAACACTGAAGTTGGGAAATGCCCCTCAGATGTGTCTGTCTGAATAAGATGTTCCTGTGGTCAGAAGAGCCTGCCTCGAACAGAAATGCCCCAATGATGGCTCACCACTCTGAAGCAATGAGAAACCAAACACTGTCTTTATGGTAAGCAAGCTGTGAGTTCACTGCAATGCAGCTATGAAACAAGGTGCAGGAGGATGGATTAGAGACTGTGCAGGTGTGGAAGTGTTAATTTACCAAGAGCCATAATCATGCAACAATGTTAAAGGACACAGGGCCTGGGAACAAAACACAGCACTATTTATCTCCAGTGTTGCCAAATGCTCTATGAGAAATTACAGCCAAGACCAAAAGGCAGGCAGTTGGGGTCAGACTGAAGCAGTGCTAAGACTCTGTTGTTACAATTAATCTGATCATAACTTTTCTGCTCCAATAGCTGTGGCTACACTAATCAAGGCAAAAAGAAAGTCACTTGACTCAAGGTCACTTTGAGGCCGGTATTTCACAAAAGCTTTTCCCCCAAGTGGACCATGTTGGATAATGTTGAGCGATGATGGTAGAGGAGTTGTGGAGGTTAAAACAGAGAGAGAAGTTAGTAAAAATACCTCCACAGAACAAAACAAAGGAAAAGGCAGAGAGTAAAGGGGAAAATGAGTTCAAAGGCACAGAACACTTCTTCATGGTTTTGCTTCCAGGACCTACTTCTCTTCCCAGTCAATAGGAGTAATTCCCATTTGGCTACCAAGAAGAAAGACTCAAGATCAGATGTGCCCCTGACTGGCAATACTTGCATTTTAAGGAACCAACAATTGGATTTCTGGCCTTTACAATCAAAACATTTTTTGCTAACTAAATGCAGAAATAACTTTACTTTTGAGCCAAATACATCCCTTGGGCAGGCTTAGTAAAGTCAATACCTTCACAACATGAAAGAATTTGGCTCAGAATACTATGAGCTGTTTGCATCTCTGCCTACACAGGCTGCTGCAATAACTGACAGTAGTGGAGAATAGTTTTGAGTTATCTGGGAGAGAATTAAAATGACTGTGGGGGATTTTTTTCTGACTGCAGTTGTTTTAGTCCCCACTGAAATGGCTTTTGACAGAAGAGCCTCAGTCAATGACTATTCCAAGAGAACAGTGCAACTCCCACAGATTTTATTAAATGTTGGACCTCTATTTCAAACAAGACCTATTTATGCAATATACTATCTCCCCAATTCCACAGTATATTTTACAGTGGAAATGATGAAATATTTTCTTCTCATCAAACATGCTACATGATATGGTGCTAAGGCAGAGTGAAATGATAGAGTCTTTCCCTCCCACACACCAACAAGAATTACAATAGTTTGAGTAACTGAAATCAAAATTAATTTGCAAGCTAAGCTTGTGTGTGCTATTGGACCCTAAAAATAGCCTGAAGAATCTTCAGAATTTTCAATAAATGAGTATGTTAAATCTGAACTGTATGTACAAGACATTGGAATGCTTTCCCATTTTTTTTTTTTTCCCATACTTTATTTTTGGGAAGCAAATGCAAAAGATTCCCACACATGTACATGTAGCAGGCAAGCTGAAATGTGGAGGTGGTGCACCTTCCATCTACCTTCTTCTTAGATAGTAACAGATCTAGACTATCTCTCTTGAAAAGCTCTTCTCCATTCCCCTAAAATGTGCAGACAGAATCAGATGATGTGCAATGAAGACCTGGTGACATAAAACCATGATGTGTCCTGAGGGGCCACATGGCCCTTCAACTATTCTTTCAGTACTAAAGCAAAAAGTGAACATTCTAATTGAGTTTTTTTCTCTATACTGTCATGGAGCAAGACTATTTTTCTAATTTTACTAATGAGAGACTAAAACGTAATAGATTTGTTCATGGTCTAAAAGAAAGTCCACAGCAGTGTAAAGAACCAAAATAAGCTCTCCCAAACCCCAACTGAGCATTTAAAATATCAGTTCACTCTCTTTAATGAGGTATTATAGATTTTAAAATAAATATATATGTTCAGTTCATCAGTATTTTACTTCATTGAAAACCCAATATAGTCTTCTACTGAGTCTGACAGATATACAATCTTTTTTCAAAGGGGAAATAAACACACAGATTATTAGAGTCTATATTTATTGAAATTAAAAATTCTTTTCTTTTTAGTAGTATAGTGTGGATTTGCAGGGCTAATCAGGCTTATAACTTTCATCCTAGCATGTACTTATATTTATATAAGTAGTTTTGCCTACAAAAAAATTTTCCTTTTATTAAGTAAAACTAACAAAATAATTTTAAATAAATTTTTATAGGGAGTAAAGTTGTGTGAAAGCTATTTTATAATTGCCTTCCAAACATTTTTTGTCTTGAAGGCATGAGACACTGACACTGTTGGAAACTGGACACTAAGCTAGATTAGCTGCTGCTCTGATCCAGTCAGGCTATTTCTACCTTTCTGTATTTGCAGCTGAGAATTTTTCCATGGTAAGATGACTATTGAGGTTGCTTGCCTTTTTTGTTCTCCCATGCTGTATTTCTGTTCTTTTAACAAAGACACCAGAAGACAAACAAAGAAATGACAGGCAGTTAACTGGAGAGGACAGAAGATGACTATCATGCTGGTTTAATTAACACTTCAGCTTTGGATCACAAAGAGGGGTAGAAGAGCTAGTCTCTCTTTTTCAGCCACTGTAGTTAAGAATGTGAGCAGCCCACGCCAAAACAACTACAATATATCCTACTATGTTTGCTTTCCAAAACAGGGAAATACTTTTCTCACCGGGAAACCCTGCTTTGTGCAGACAGTGCCACAGAATAGGAAAAACATTATTATATATTCAGTGGAAAACAATCAGCAGCTGATTCTCAACACATAGTGTGGAACTCAAGAGAAGCAGCTCACTAAAATCCAAGCCAATCCCTCCTGTGAATGCATTTTAATGGCATCTACAGGTTTGCTGTTAAACTTAACAGTCACAGAATAAATGCAGCTGGACATACAGCAGCATTAGTGTTGGGGAAAGGTAAGGTAACTCTTGCCCAAGGTTTACATTGTGATATTTAGCATATGAACTCCAATTTTAAATTTTATCTTATTGGTAAAAATCCACCACTTTAGTAAGAACAAAGACTGCCAAATTCTGAGCATGTTTAGCAATTGGAGCTGGGATTTAATTCAGATAACTATTTCCTATCTTAGCCTTAAGTGTGCAATTCGATTTGATGGAATGCTTCCCTGTAGCTTTCCATAGCCCCATAGAAAGATGGGGCTGCCACCAGGCACCTGAGCACAGGATCCAAACTCTCAGTCTGTGTTCCTGACCACTACAGAAAAAAACCAATGCACAACAAGTTTGGGGTTTGTACGCCAGGAAACAATTCCCCTCTCACTGAAATGTTCTTTCTCTTTGTGACTTCACTTTTCTCCAGTGAAGCTAAAGAAAGAACAAGAACTCAGAGGTTTGACTTTCAGGGGGTTGTTTTTCAGACCTACTTTTTAATTGTGCACATTGATGATAAGAAAATTCATTTTTCCTCTACATGGCATTAAGCTAAGTTTGAAGCTCTCCCTGAAACCCAGCAATGTGTCTGTGTTGTTCAATTTCTGAATCAAATAACTAAGTGGTATGAATTAGAACTGTTGTCATTTTTTTCAGAATATGTATTAAATTGTATTTCATAAGCTCTCTCAAGGATTTTCTTACCTT